TTTTTTTTGGCACTCATCTTTACTCCTTCCCCCGAAGCCCAGGTTCCCCTCAATCCCCCAGATCTATTCTGCACCTACTACCCCCGCCGAGGCTGGAGAGCTGACGTGTACTTCAAAAGAGGTCCGGGAAAGAAAGTGATGCTGAGCTGTTAAATCATTCACCAAGCTCATTTTTGCCTAAGCTAGAGGCACCAACCTACTCTGGAGTCAAGGAGTAAGCTTGACCCCTCCGTGACAGTCCATTTCCCTGGCTAGCGGGCCCCCTTCTATGTTGACTTATATTCGCATTCGACTATTTACTGGAATGATTCTTTCAATTAGGGATAGAGCGAACAATCACCAAGTTACGATGTTAGCTTTGAAGAACAACAAAGGCTCTGAGAAGCAGCAAAGTACCGCCATGTAGAGGTTCAATAGCGATGCCAGCCCCACACGCTGTTTGCCTTTTTGATCACTGCCTCGTCTGTTTCACGCGATTTAAGTCGAGACGGATGCGGCCCTCTTTCCATTGTTAACTATTAATTTCTTAAATTTAGAGCCCCGCAGAGGCCTGTGGTAATCTTTTTATCTGGTATTCAGGCTATGTGATGAGAAAGCTGCCGAAGTGACACTTGCTCGGGCCTTCCGGACCTGCTTATGGTATTTAGCTCAGGAACACTGTAATACGCACCTTGGAGGGTGCTTACTGTGTGTTCGTATGTATTTTTATAGATCGGTACGGGCTTCTATAAAATCCTATAAAATCCCACAGCGAATCAATGTGGCTTATTTGTATGACATCTGCGAGCCGGTCTTATCTCTGCTTCTCAGGCAGCACGGTGTTATTGGTTCTCTGCAGACCAAAAATAAAAATAAAGACAAAATAACCATATGACGGTGGGAGACTCATTTCGGACGCCTCAGAAGGGCTACACGCCGCAGTAGTACATATATGGCCCGCACATGTTAGTACTACGTTGTACGTAGAATATGATGAAGATGATTGATTGTAAAACGAGGGGAGGACCTCGCAACTAACAAGATGATATTACACAAAGCGGAACATGTAGGCAGAATAGATGACGTTCGACCACAGCAGGGTTTAACCATATAGCCGCGCAACAGTCAGGTAACGGCTGCGAAATGCCCAACTAGTTCCATGTGGTATATACATTCTGGTGGCAAACCCCTTAATCGTCTCCGTCATTCTCTTACTGCAGTGGCTGTTAGGTGCCGCGGAGTTAACGGACAAGAGAGTACACTACGGAGTTAAGAATGTAGTAATCTCCGTCTCAGATCTATGAGGCAATAAAAACACGGCAAACGCAGCTTTTAAGCGTAGCTCCCAACCACACCAATACTCTCACCTCAATCTTATAGCTGGAACTATACCTCCGGGTTACTTCTGGAAATGAATATATCGGCTCAGGATCCTTCCCTACGCGAGACGAATTGGCCTGCTGTGGCTGGCTATGTCGCCGCGCGCAAGGACACTTATCCGTTCATCGATCCCGCCAAAGCCGACCTGACGGGCAAGTCGGTCTTGATTACGGGCGCCTCCAAGGGCATCGGTAAGGCCACCGCGATCAGCTTCGCCATCGCAGGCTGCTCAAAGATACTACTGGCCGCTCGTTCGGACCTGGCCGACGTCGAGACAGCCGTCCACGACGCTGCTATAAAGGCAAATCGGCCCCAGCCATTAGTGCATTCCCTGAAGGTGGACGTAACCTCGGAGAACTCTGTACGAGCAGCCGCTGAGACTGCGGCAGATGTGCTCGGCGGCAGCCTCGACGTCCTAGTGAATAACGCCGGATACTTGGAGGAGTGGAAACCTATCGCCGAGTCCGAGCCGAGCGAGTGGTGGCGGACTTGGGAGGTCAACATCAAAGGCACCTATCTCGCCGCCCACTTCTTCATACCGATGCTGCTAAAGTCGCAGACCAAGACCATCATCAACATCAGCAGCGGTGGTGCCCACGTTATGTTTCCCGGTGCGTCAGCCTACCAGACGACCAAGTTCGCCCTCTGCCGCCTCACCGAATTCATGGACAATGAATACTACCAGCAGGGTTTGATCGCCATCTCGCTCCACCCGGGCGCCGTGAAGACCGAGCTGGCCATGAACATGCCTCCAGAGAGGCAAGTCGTTCTGACCGATACGCCGGAGCTGGCTGCCGACACGCTGGTCTGGCTCGCCCGTGAGCGACGCGACTGGCTCGCTGGCCGATTCGCCTCGGTGAGCTGGGACATGGAGGAGCTGGAGCAGAAGAAGCAGGACATTCTCCAAAGGAACTTATTTAAGTTCCGCGTGGTGATTTGAGTCGGGCGGTGCACCCTCTAAGTAGTAGTCTAGATATATTTGTTGATTACGACCATTCTTTCATTACATAATACGTTCGAAGTTATATATCGTGTGGATCAGATATTGCTACTTTATCTTTCTCTGATCTTCTTTCACATACTCTGATGTGTATATAAGAACTGAATTACTTACATCTGAGTTCTCGGCATGCAGTGGACTCATATCTTTCCCGTTCTCGCTGATGTAAAACAGTATAATATTAACTAGACTCTAGGTTGAATCGATGGTCAGTCAAGATATTTTCCACGATAGTTTTTGGAGTAGTATCACTAGAGTTGTGTAAGCAGATTCATAAGATTGTTAGATGAAACACTTTCCTTGCTCATTTCATCCTCACAAAGATCAACAATATCCTTGAGATCTTTCTTTTCTTTTCACTCCTTGGACTGGTCTACCAAGCAGTATTAGTATTAGAAGGTCTGTCTGAGGTGGAAGAGGTCAGGTATATTACCTCAGATGGAGAAGAAGAAAAAAAAAAAAAAAAAAAAAAAAAAAAAAAAAAAAAAAAAAAAAAAAAAAGAAAAGAAAAGAAAAGAAAAGAAAAAAGAAAATTGTTACGGAAAGTTGTTATTCAGGATTGAGGAACACAAAATAAAAAGGTTTATCAAATGTATGAAACTTGTCATAACTTTACGATGACGACCACATAAGTTCTCTCCATCCTTCCTCCTAACTTGCTGTCCGCAGAAATTACAGCAATCTATTCTTCCCTCAAACGGTACTATATAGTAGAGCCCCATCAGTTTCAGGGAAACCTTCTGGGCTTTACCAGAGGCTTAACTCTAATAACCCAAACTTGGCGACATTCCCACCTGTAGTCCAGGGTTTATTGGCTGCCGGTCACAGAGAAATCTATAGCAACACGGTATTCGATGCATGAGCCGAATGTCACCATCTGTGGCTATATCGTATCGTAAAAGATATAGAGCAGTTCCTATCTGATTGCTTGGTCAATACCCAGATAATAGGCCCGCCACATATACTCAATCACTGAACAAGCCTCCCAGTCTGCGGATCAATTTTCTGTCGCCCTTTAAAATCCACTCTCAAGGACTTGGTACCGCTTTGAATCAACTGCTGAAACCAGTCCGGAGCTCCTCGCTGTATAGCTTCAGTCAATATATATTCTTTCTTAGCCAGGTGAAGTCGGTTTTACTCACCAAGCCGGCAAAATAGCGAAAAATTCCTGGAAGATAGACTGTCTGGCTCAAGCCACTGTCGAGTATATCCACGATGGCATCTACGACAGTGTCGACATGAAGAAGAGGCATCAGAAATCTAGACTGGTTCGTCTCGCCTTTGAATAGTGGTGTTTTGGTGAAGCTCAGCACAGCAAGCGAGGTGCGGACCTTTGGTGCGTTCTGGGCTCGGAGCTCTTGGGCAAGACACTAGTTGAACCAGAGGCGACAGATGATCAATATATTGCAGACTCGGAAGGGAAACAGAAGACAGTGGACTAATGTACCTCATGAAATGCAATCAATCCAGCTTTCGACGCTGCGTAATCAGCAAGCCCTGGCGGCGGAATATAAGCGCTAACCGAGGCCACATTAAAAATATGTCCATGGTTTCGTCGGATCATAGCCGGTAGAAATTCCTTAGACAGAAGAAATGGGGCCAGCAAGTTCGTTTTCAGGGTTATGCTGTTGTCGCTGTAGGTACCCTCAGCGACTGTTCGCCCGCGTGACAGACCGGCATTATTCACTGCATGGAAATTCGGTTAACTAGACAATTCTTGAATAGAGTTGCTGCTAAACTTCACTTACCTAGCACAGATGGGTCACCAATATCGGCTTTGATCTTTTCGCACACACTTGCAATCTCTTTCTCATCGCTCAGGTCACATTTGTGGTACAGGATGCGATCATTCTCTGCGTTAGGGGTTATTAACGATGTTCTTGTGCGAAAAAGAGCTGCCGACTCAAGGTTACTCAGAGTACCAACCAGGCTTGTACGTCAATGGGATGATGTCCAATACGACAACGCGTGAGCCCAATGCAGCTAGACGTTGAGCAACCCCTGCTCCAATACCGCCGCTTCCTCCGGTCACGACGACCAGCTCTTTTTTCCAGTCCCAGGTATGATCTGTAACCCAATTGTTCAGACACTTGGAAGTTAACAACTCGTTAAGCCACAGGAGGACACTGGCTGTTGCGGCAATACGGATGAGTTGTTCGTATGGGGCCAGAAAGCTGAATTTTGTCGCCAGGTATAGTCCTAGCACCGTGGTGAGTGGACGAAAGATTGTCTTCCGTAACCCAACTATTATCGGATCAATGTAAAGGCCTTCACGAGGAAGGAAGCCGGGTTTAGCCATTGTCGTCACGTTTTATTTGGAGAGGGGGGGGGGGGGGGTAAAAGAGAAGCCGCACAATTATTTAATGAACGGAGCTTGAAACTGCCCGTGTAGCCTTATACAATCTTGATATCTATTGGGATTGAGTCAATACCAACTAGGTAGACTGTCCCTTTCACCCCGCATGTCCGGGTAGATTCCAGGTTCGTGATTGTTCCGGGATGGACCCGGATCGGATCCATCCGCCTGGCGGTTGCCCGTGCCTCATCATCATAGGCAGAGGCATTCCGAATGGAATAGCTAAACTTAAAATTGAGCGATACTTGTGGTATGGAGGCTTACAAACACATCTCATTGTTGAGACCCTATGTTATATGAAGATTCGAAACGGTGCCAGAGACCTCCACGAGGGCCTGGGGCATCTCGACAGTCAATCATGCAGCTTGTCCAATTGAGACTCCCAATAACAAGCAGGTGAATCCGAGGTAAGTCATACGGTTAATGCGGAAGACACCGTATGCATTACACAATACCATTATCGGTGAGAGCAAGTAACAACCTTCTAATCGGTATCCGGCCTATTCTTTTTCTTTGTGCTGGAACACTGACGGTTTTCTGGATACTCAATTTCCAGTTTGTAGATATCTTGAGACACTTAAGACATAACTACAACGAAGTGTGGATGACAAATCCAAGTTATTGGACTCTCAAAAAGCATTCTGTGACACTACGCCGATATATAATTGGGCAACAAAAACAATTGATGTGGACAGATACAAAATATCAAATAGCTCCACGGACACCAAAACCGGACAAACTGCATCAAGATGCAAAACAGATTGATCTCTGCTCCCTTCTTCCCGAATAATTTCGGCGAGTCTACTTGGTCAACATGCTGGATTGTACACTGGCCAAGTACCTTTTGACAAGTTCGGGTGACAGATTTCCAGCGTAAGCAAGCTGTGCGATCCCGAAAATTCCGATACAAAGAGCAAGAAACAAGGCCCTGGGTGATAAATGTTGTGATGGCTTTATAGTCTTCTGCTGACAGCTGTCAATATGATACTCACTGGTTCAATCGAATTGGGTCGAACAAAAAGCAAGAAATTGAATTTGAACGCGCAAACCCACCTTGACATTCCAATCGGACCATGTGGGAAACAGACTCCTCCACCAGTAGTGACCTTGGGTCCAGGGATAGGACATGGAGTTCCATTTCTTGTCATTAAGGTACCACTGTAATCTCAATTAGATGGTCACGAAGCTAACTGAAATACATATCTCACTTACTGATACGCAGCCCGCGTTCCAGACACGCTTATTCAATGCGTCCTGTACCCAGTAAACGTAGTCATGCTCGGCTTTGGGCTTAAGTTCGACTGATGAGGCGTCACCATTCAGAACGGGCTTTAGAACACGGAGAGCGTAGTTGATCGAGCTAGTGTTGATGATTAGAGGCTTATCCGGAATATAAGAAAGGAAAGCGGCACAGGAAGGGGGCAACTGGGTTAGAGGTCATGTTAAACCTACTTCTCAGCAGCCATCATCGCTGATGTGTGTCCGGTTGCAGCATTAGGTCCCAGGAGCATGAAGAAGTTGGGAAAGCCACTCAGAACCGAGCAGTTGTAGGCAGCTGGGCCATCGTACTTAGTCCAGTGCTGTGATACACTCTCACCGTTCCGCCCGACCACGTCCATGTATGGGATGAATTTGTTAGTCCTGAAGCCTGTTGCAAGAACAATAACGTCCGCCGGAATGAAGCCTTTGTCTGTCTCGAGGCCTTGTGCAGTGATCCTACCGATCTTTGCGTCAGTTAAAAGGACTTTGTCACTGTGTAGGCTTTGAAGGTATCCGGGGTCAAAGATTCGTCTCTTTTCAGTTGATAATATTAGCGTTCTCTCGACATTTGCGCTTCAATCATAGAAGGAACAGGGAACAGGGAAAATCATACCTTGCATCCTACATCAAAGTCCGGAATCAAGAGATCATGGTATTTCTTCGGACCTGCCTCTCGCATGTATTTCTCTACTTTCATGCGCCGCTTCTCTCGAAGTCTGGCTGCCCCCTTCGTCATCGGAAACAAGCGAAAATCATTCTCAGCAATCACGAAGATGTGAAATCGGTGCAGCTTCATGGCAAAAGGAACGTAGCGGAAGATCCATTGCAGAAGCCGAGGATAGGAGAAGTTTGGGGCTGGGAATATCCAGTGCTTCGTTCGGACAATCTGCGTGAGGGATTTGATCTTTCCCTCGTTGACTAGAGCTGGGACGATCTGTGCAGCAGTACCTGAAGAAGGTCAGACTGACCCTTTGAAAACGAGGAGAAAACGACAGTAGTTGCATACAGCCATTCCCAATCACAACGACATTCTTCCCTTCGAGATCCACGCTATGATCCCACCGCGCCGAATGAAATATACTCCCGCCGAAGTCTGAAGCACCGGGGATATCACAAGGCCGCGGCTCGACAAGCTGTCCTGTTGCTGCAAAGAGGATCTGGCACTCGTGTGTGTATTGGCGTCCCGTTTCCAGTTCGCGTAGGTATAGAATCCAGCGATTTGCATCTTCCCGCCAAACACTACGGACTACTTCCGTGCCAAAGGTCATCGCTCGACGAAGATTGTATGTATCAACCACGTTGTCAACGTACTCTTTGATCTCGGTATTCGAAGGCATAAGCTTCGTCCAGTTGGGGTTCAGTGCAAAGGAAAAGCTGTACAATGCGCTAGGCACATCGCAGCCGCATCCTGCATTGAGTAAGTCGAAGTAATGAAGGACAATAACCAGACTGCCCGAACGAACCTGGATATGTGTTGATGTACCAGGTTCCACCACTCGTGGGATGTCGTTCGAAGAAGCGGATGTCTTCAAGGTCGTACCATCTCTTAAGCGTTGCTCCTAGAGCCACGGCTGACAGGCCGGCGCCAACACAGGCTACCTGGCTATAGGATGGAATATCGGTCTTTGCAGTCATGTTGAGAAAATTATAAGATTGATATATGCACGTTCTTCTCTCGAGTGTTCTTGTATTAATTAATACCGCGTAGGACCTAGTATGAATCCTATGAGGAGAACCGCACTGCATAGGAACCAGCTCATACCGGAACTGTCCCGCAGGCATAGATTCACCCGAGGTAGGGTATGACATGTGCAAGGCAAAGTGCGGAGGCATCCTTGGAAATGGGGTAAAATTGAGAAGTGCGGCACGTGGAGTCTGCTAGTGATGAAATTAGTCGTGTGTCAGAGGCCTCCACCAGTCTATTCATGGTTCGGGTCAGTCCCGGGTCGTGGGGTTTGGGGGTAGATGATCATTTCCAGTAGGAGCCAATGATGCATTTTGCATCCCGGAGATGCTCCGCCTGTGTTGATTAGAGGTCATAGTGCTGCAACTGATGGATCCAGCCATTACCCATCTTTTTAAATCTATTATTCGAGGACTATTGCATGTTCTGATTCATACAATTCCGGAAGTCCACGCCGGCTACCCACAGACAACTGACCCATGAGTACATCTTGCCTTGTCCAAATTAAGTTGCTTAACTACATTTAGAGATAAATTGATTCACAAAAAATTGTCTACAGACTGACTTAACGGAAGCTAACGGAAGGTTTTTAGTGTCAAGGTAAAGTATCAGGAAAATCAAGCCTCGTCAAAAACCCCAAATCATCGAACCCCTGTCCCATACTTCCGGCGTATTCCTCCCAATTGAAGAATGGAGCTTGCGTTAAGTCGTGATCCGGGTGATCAAACGGGGTGTAATGTTGAGTCATGTTATCTGGATGCAGCGAAGCAGCACCAGCAGTCTGACTGCCTGTTTGTTGCATATCAGCGGGCACAGCTTGCCGATACAAAGCTTTGAGGAACTGAAGCGTGTTGTTCGCGGAGCGTTTAACTGTTGCCATTGATTCTAGAACGCTTGTAGCTTCTCTCCAGGCAGCTCGGGCTTTATCCATAGTACATGAATCGAGCATTGATGGGGAGGAGAAAGACATGAGGAGCACTATGGCGGCCGTTGACACATCTAAACCCAGATTATCAGTACGGGTGGGAAGGTAGATAATAATTAGCAAGCGAGGGCGGCATACAGAATCCGTTGTACCACCATGCATCGGTGGCGTTTGTATGGTACGTCTCATGGACTAGGTGCGTCAGGTCAATGGCTGCCATTACGCAAGCGGTGGCGGATTTATTAGCTGTGGAGAAGTACAGAGTGCTCCGGGTTGCGGAACTGTGAGCGGTCCATTCTTCTCTTATGCCATTTCCACCTACAAAGTCGCTTTTGCGTACTTTTTCTGCGTAGAGCTGAGTAAACATCGGACGGTGGAGGAGGAGGTGAAGATGCAAGTATCTGCATATGTGGGTGAGGGATAGCCACCTAGATAGCAACCGGATTGAGAAGAAACGCACCTCGCGTGGAGAACATTTCTCTGTTGGGCGATTGCCTGGTTCAGCTTACCGTCTGAATTGAATTCCGGTGCGTCCGGGTCCCACTTAAGGCATGGAGGAGTACTAGCCTCAAACAAAGTGAGTTCTCTTTCAATTTCAAGGATTGTGTCTAGGCCTCCCAAGATCTTGGTTGACGCCTGTGGTCGATCTTGGCGTGTCCGACTACACCAGGCACAATATACATCGGATAAAATCTTGTCTAAGATGCTGTAGAGTTTAATAGCCTCGATATAAAACGACAGCAGTGACGGTTCTCCCGGCGGATCTTGTCGGGACATCTCGGAGTCATCTGGTGGGGGAAGAGGAGCTAGATGAGTCGTCATAGTAGGTCTGCCATGCGTCATGCTCAGAGTACTGTGGCAGAAATTAGCACGACCTAGTATGTAACCACTAATACTGGCAGGACTTACACATCCATCATCACACAGCCGTGCCACGTTCGGCGTCGAATATCAGATTCCAAGGGCGATAAGCTGGTGAGGATATCCGACTCATGGAGTCCTAAACCCAGGGCAACCCTGCAAGCAACACCAACGGAATGCCAACATCGGCTGGGATAGGGAGAGCTCTGCAAGAATAGCGCTGTTATCAACAGAGTCTGAACTACACCAAGGGTATTAATATCAAGAAAGTCAAGTCCAATAAAGCGCTTGCACCTAAGGAAGAAGGAATTTGCAACAGATTCGACTTCCTCAATATCTGCAAATTGACATCCCAGAGCAAAAATAGCATTCAAGGCAGCATGGAAAACGATTGATTTAGGGCTGGATTCTGCGCCGGAACCCAGTCCAATTCTCAAGTCTGTGAGAGGTATCTTAGGCTCATCCTCAGCACGCCAGAGATTCCGATAGGCTGCTTCAAACGCAGGGCGGTGAAAGAACGGATATAGGGTATATACATGATCGAAAAAGCAGCGGACGAGGTGGTCTGCCAGCGTGCGCGGTGGAAGGGCAAAATCGTCGAACCGATACTCGGTGAAAGTATCATGCAGCGTGCTAGAAGCAAGCTCGGCACCAGAAGAATTTGCTGGCCGTGAAGGCAGCGACTGCCAGGCAAACCTCATGAGTGAAGCAGTGGATGAACTACCATAAAATTGAAATCGGGAGGATTGTTTCCTGCTTTCAGCATCTGGAGCTGTGATCTGGCCCATTCCAGTGACGTGGGCTTCTCCATCGGCGAACAACGGCGATCCATAAGATCCTACATCCGGTGAACACTCTGTAGTCTCTTCTACTGCCAATCTGGACCGGCTGTTTGCGCTTTCACTGCGTGTGGCTAGTACCGGTTGGTCCGGTCGTCCGCCAACCCTGAAACCTGTGGAGGTAGTGGTTCGCTCCTCAAGTTCCCCAAACGGGGTGGGGGCAGCCATGATAAGGCCTTCCGTCTCCACTGGTATTTCATTGCCTCTGTTGAGCTCGCTATGGGATTCCTGTTGGGCCCGAAGGCCCAGTGGACTGTCGATGGACACTCCGGCCATCAAACAGGCATTTTCCAGTTCTCTAATTCGAAGATGAAGGGTCTGAAAGTATCTGCTTTGCGTTAGGATTATCTCACGCATCATGCCTGTGATCCCGGTTGTTGGATAAACTCATTCATGAAGCTCACTCGTCTCTGCTGGCGGTCCGGGCGTTATCCGGGTTGTAGAGGCACTGGTCAATCCGATAAGATCTCCTCCTGCATGCCCCACATATGGGCTTATTCCCGTCACAGCGAATTTTCTTCTCTCTACACGAGTCGCAGGCCAAAACAACCTTGCGGCGTGCACCTGTCCGTCGCTTAGGGTCGCCAGTTACTTTCGGGGGCATTCTGTGAAGACGGGTGACACCCAGTGCTGTGGAGCAGCCCCTGGGAAGGCTGTATGGATAAAATCACGGTACGGAGTCTATTTTCTCTGGAGAGCACGAGCAATGAGTTGCAAGTTCCAACTGGGGCGTGTGAGGAGTAGCAACTCGTTTATCAAGCCGGGATCGTTCCGGTTCCACTTGCGGACCGGGGGGCTCTTCAAAGACCAATAGCAAGTTACAATGGCCAAGATCGCCAGTTCCTAGGACCGGCAGCATTCCGGGGGTTTTCGGGTCTGTTCCAGAGACATGCTAACCAAACTGGATCCACGTCCGAGTCTCTCGTGCGTTCTATTATGGGGTTATATGCAACTTCCAGACACGTAGATAATGCTTTTTTTCTACTACTCTCGAATGTCATCAAACTTAGTTTTCCAGAGACAGCGGTAAGCGAAAGCTTCAAGTAAAAATGACACGCAACCTTGCAAAAGTACGCTTTCTTTTGACCCTCGTTCTCTGTGTCCTGCCACGGGCAGCTATCAGAATATCGGCGGCTATTTTTCGTGCGTTCTGGAAGGGATTGCCGCTAGGATCGTCCATGTGGAATGGGTTTGCTGGCGCCCTGATCACCAACACACCCCCAGAACAGTTGCAAGCAGTCCTGCCATCTACGCTAAAGACATACGAATCATGGGTTCTATCTCGTGGGGTTAGTCGTGCGGTGGATGTCTTAGCAGCGGACAATAGCACTCGTCTGCTTTGGATAGGGCCAAGTATATCGGCGAAGGTGCTTCTTTTCTTTCACGGTATGCTATTCCATTCATAACGCTGCGTTTCCAGGAAACGATTGCTGAGTGTTGACTAGGTGGCGGATACGTGCTGCCACTTTCTGAAGCGCACCTAGACTGGATGGCATATCTACGGAACGAGGCAGCCAACGCTGGGGTGGATATGAGTGTGTGCATTCTGGAATATGGTTCGTTTTGATCATCGGGGAAGATGTTGCGCGCGTGCTGACATTTCAGACTTGATACCAACCAACCCATATCCCAGACAGTTGAAACAGGCAATCTTCGCAATACAGCGCCTATTGGTTTCCGGGTATAGACCTTCTGATGTAGGTTGGCTTGCAAGTGGATCCTCTTGGACCAAAGAACTAATATGAGCTCGCACAGATTGTCTTCGGAGGAGACTCCGCTGGAGGCCACCTGTCGCTTTCCCTCATGGCCCATCTCCACCGTCACTATCAATCCAATGAGGTGAAAAAGAATCTCATTCACCTACAGAGCCCTGTTAAGGGATGTTTCCTTGTATCACCGCTATCATCCTTCGACTTCAGTACACCTTCCTACCAAAGGTGGTTCAGTGCCGATATTCTTACTCGCAAAGTTGTAGATGAATGGGGACGCTATCTTGTCAATAACTCTCCCTGGCACGAAGAGATTTCTGCTGGATATGGCTGGGGAATGGCCCTGGATGTTCCAGATAGCTGGTGGGATGGTTTTACGGCTGTAGATAATATCCTTGTGACCGGCGGCTACGAAGAGGTGTTCAGCGATCATATTCAGCTGTTGGGTGAGACTTTGAAGACAAAATGTAAGGGCAACGTGGCCCTGCACATGAGTAATGAAACCCACGACGGACCGCTTATGGACTTTGAGGCTAGAAGGCCGCCCAGTGAGACTACAAGGGCCATCAGAGATTTTATTATAGCTTGCTTTAAGGATTAAAATATATCATGCATTTTCACGCTTGTATTTAAAGTATGAGCTTCTACACTCGACGTTTGGCGTCCTCCAAAACCTGCAGTGATTCTCCTTCGCGCAAGATCAAATTAACGTGGTCCTCGCTTCTTGGGGTTACCTTTACTGGGAAAGGTTCATCAGTTTTGTGATGATTCAGTCGTTTTGGGTTATATGGTCCCGCCTGCCAAATGTCAGCGTTATCATTGATTCCTCACCAATACTTTCTAGCCACTTACTGCTGCATAATTGTAACAGAATACTAAGCGTGCCACATTGATGAACAGTCCTCTGAATGCCAGCCTGTAACCAACGCAAATTCGGCGGCCTCCGCCAAATTGCCACAGGCCATGTGCAGCGTCAGTTTCATGTCCATCAAGCCACCGCTCAGGCTTGAATTCCTCCGGGTCTTCGCATTCGTTGCACACTGGGACCTCGTTGATCACGAAGCCAACGCCCGCCGGAAAGTGATAGCCCTCGAACTCCATGTCAGATGTAAGCACATGATCTGGGGTCAGAACGAAAATTGGCCTCCATCGCAGGAGTTCCTTGATCAGAGCGCAGATGTAGGGCATATGCTCAAGGTCCTCAATCCCTGGCAGACGAAGACCCCCTTCGGTGCAACACAATCGGTCAACTTCTTCCCTGGCCTTCTGGAAAACTCTCGGATAACAAAGAGCTGCCATCACGAAGATGTTCAATACTTCTCGAGTTGTGTCGGATCCGGCCTCGAGAAGCTGCATTGCCACGTACATGGCCTCCTGGTCGTCCCCAGTAAACTTGGTGTCTGGGTGCAAAAGGACATCACGAACCCATGATGGGGGCGCTGTTCCTTGCTCTACCTTATCTCTTACTGGAATCCACCATGATTTGTAGACCTCTTCGTTCCAATTACCGAGTTTCTCCCAGTGCTTCCGCCATGGCTGCAAAGCTCGCGGGAGACGATCCAATTCGGGAAACCAGTCGATCAGACTGGATCCGATGCTACCCACAAAATATGTAACAACATTTTGTAGGTCCTCGAGCTCTTTACCTGATTTGACCAGCCGCTCCCCAAGCGCGATGCGGTGGACCACGGAATTCGCGTATCGATAATGATGGCGGTACCATCGCTCCGGTTGGAACAAATACTCAGCAAGCAGCTGGGTACTTTCCAATTCCTGCCATGATGCATATTGTTTTAACGCGGTTCCACTGAGAAGCGAGTGCATCACTCGCCGTTTCTCCGTCCATCCCGAGGGAGGCAGCAGAAGAGAGCGTCCGTTACGGCTAACAATGCCACTAGCAATGGGCATAGGGCTTCGGCCATTCGTTAGTGTGCCGCGTTTTGCGATGATTTCCGAGACCACCCGCTTGCTATTGAGCAAGATCCATGTTTTTGATCCGAGGTGCAGAGTAGTCATCTCGCCATATTTCGCGAGATCGTTGTTCTGTTCGCAGTCAGTTTCCATGACTAGCAATTCTCAGGCGTCTTACATACTATTATATGATCTTGGTCATCCCGAACCTTGCGAACGTCTAACAGGCTTCCAAATATCGGTATTCCTCGAGGGCCAGGAGGGAGCTTCCATCTCTTGCCAGGGGGAGGTCTGCGTTTCCCAACCGGAGTAAAAATCTCTCGGATGACGAGGAATATCGTTGCCAGAAATGCTGCTATGGTCACGAGGGTTGCCGAGAATGGATATTCTCTAGCAATCCCAGATATCTGGGCGTGAACTGACTTGCTCATGGTACCTTGCGTAGGATGGTCAAGACAATGTAGGGATATTCAGTTCCTAGGCTTTTGAAATACTCATTCACTGGTAATGCCAATGACGAAATTTGCTGCTTCGTCTCTCTTTATCCCGGCGATAATTTGGCTTCTGCTACGGAATATCCGGCCCTGTGATGATGAGTTTCGGAAAGAACCCGATGTGGATACTCGCTTCCGGAACTGTCCCGGGTCCTTATGGGGCGTTATTAAAGTAGCGGCAGTACTACAAACTATTTTGCGGCATGATGCCCCCGATGTCCCTTATTTTGGCTTCCATCATACTCATCCTGACCTTATTTTTGTTCCAGCCTAGCCTCTGTGGCATCATGGGTGAGCACGTTCTCGACTGGCTCCGGGACAAAGCCGTGGGATGGAGTCACACGCCGCCAGTGAACAAGATCGATACTCACCATCATATCGTTCCACCATTCTATGCAAAGGGTAACAGTCGCTCTCGGTCGAAGTCTATGAACCCGCTCAGCTAACCCGACTACAGCCGTGGAACAACAAGGGGGCGACCCCAGTGGCTGGCCCACTCCCAGCTGGAACCCTATAGCATCCAAACTGTTGATGAAGCGAGTTGGCGTGAAGACTGCGGTGCTTTCGGTGACAGCTCCAGGGGCATGCATTGCCCCTGACCGTCAATCACGCTCCCAACTGGCCCGACAAATGAATGAATATGCGGCAGACCTGCGAGACAAAGACCCCGACCACTTCGCCTTTTTCGTATCACTGCCCAATATACTCGACACTGAGGATGCGCTTGCAGAAATTGCTTATGGGCTGGATACCTTGCATGCGGATGGTGTCACTCTGTTTACGCGCTATGGCCCTTCCAATACCTATCTCGGTCACAGGGACGTGGAGCCTATCTGGGCCGAACTCAACAGACGAGGCTGTGTCGTCTTCATCCATCCCACCCATCCTGTCGACATCCGCCCTGTCAACCCAAAACTACCCCAGCCGGCTATCGACTATCCCCACGAGACGACCCGCACAGCAATGGATATGATCACCAGTGGAACCACACTGAAGTACCCAAACTGTAAAGTCATCCTGTCGCACGCAGGTGGGGCCTTGCCGTATCTCATCTCGCGGGTCACGACACCCATGAAAAGGGCCCCAGACGTTGCAGTCTCATATCGCATAGGAACCACTCATGACAAGGCGATGGAAGCATTCCGTAGCTTTTACTTTGACCTGGCGTTGAGTTCTTCGCCGCAGGTTCTGGATATGCTCTTGAAGATGGTTCCGCACGACCACATCTTGTATGGAAGCGATTTTCCATACGCACCGATAACTGCATACCCAGCGTTTTTAGAAGAGTTGGAGACCTATGACATGGATCAGGAGTTGCGGGACATGATCAATTTCAAGAATGCTTTGAGGCTTTTCCCGCGTTTGGCGAACCGGACTGGCCCGGCTATTTAGTTAGTGGCCAAATAAACTTTTATATTTTTAGTTCTTTGCTGTCGATATTCCATACGTTGTTGTAATCAAAACCTTGATTTTCAATGTTGAGGACTGCGTGGATCGCTGTATCGGCTATTCTAGTCATAATCAAACAAAGGTAGCCTTGGCCATGGCCGTTGTGTATCATTACAAGAGTCTCAGCAGTTGGTGTATACGGCTAATGAATTCTAAAAATTCGGCGAAGGATATAGACATGTATTCATGGCTGGCATTTATGAGCAGTCTAATAGTTGTAGTTCGTATTACTAAGGTCGACCACAAAATATGAATTTTTTCCAAAGTAGATATTCAATGCAACAACAAAATAAAATTTATTATGCGCATTATATGCGTGAAGCCAATTTTGAACCTGTACAGCAAAGAGACGTATGATCTGAGATACTCCTCAGGACCGTAGACACTATTCGGAGTATCACCAAGTACTTGTGGCGTGCCTGAACTGACCTGCCAAAAAAACTCGAAAAGGATGCCTCGGATTTGGTGCACAATTTGGCCACGAATCTGTTGGACTAGCTCATCCTTGGTAAGGGTAGAGATAGTCGAGTTAATGGTATGATAACAAAGAATGGCGGACGTCATAGCCTTCACAATGCTAGTATGAAGTTGAAGATTTGGTGGATTTACGGCATGACCTTACTTAGCAGAAGAATTAATTTGCTTTCCTGCTCCAGGGGGGTTATTTGATCCAACTTATCCGTTTTTTTTATTTTGAATAAAACTTTTACCATCACGCTCATTAGCTCATTATATATATAACTGATCCCCTTAATTAGAGTTGTACTTCTGACAATCATGAAAGTTTTAGAGCGGGGAGGCTGGAAGACCAAAGGATACTTGAGGCATCCAATAGCTGACTAGTTATTTAGCATAATGAAAATTCTTCGTAAATTGTCTGTACGACTTGACTAAGTAAACATGCTGGATTAAGTCTAACCCACTTACCGCCCTGCCGCAGTTGATGCGAGTCAAGGGCAAACAAAGACGGAATGCTGCTGCAGTCGTCCCCCTGTATTCGAAGTCAAGAGAGAAACAACTCATCCTTCCTTTCGATGATTCTTAAACTCAACCCTTCAACTATGGTGAAACTGCGTTGTAATCTCAGGAACTTATTTCCATGCTTTAGCCATATGTCACAAGCTGGTATCTCTCGTTTACCTTATTTTTCACTGAGAACAGTGACTTCACAAGGGCTTCCTCTACGGCAGTTTCCTACTTCAGGCTACGTAACCTTAGATCCCGCCGATAAGATTGAGGAAGAGACTTTACCACTCTATAAACCGGAGAACTACTATCCGGTTTCTATTGGCGAAGTCTTCGGTTCCAGATACCAAGTGGTCTCAAAGCTGGGATATGGCACTTCCTCTACTATCTGGCTTTCCCGAGATCTTCAGTAAGGTTTTCGTTAGAGGAGTGCAATTTCTTGTCTCTAATACTTTACAGAGAGGGGGGCTACTATACCCTGAAGCTATGTGCAAAGGGACAAAGCTCCGATCGAGAGATTACTGTTTCTGAGCATTTGAAGCAATCTGTCAATGAGATTCGAAAAAGGATGCTTCGCATAGTCCTGGACTCCTTTGATGTCGTTGGACCACAAGGGAGCGTGTTTATCTGCTTGATATACCAGCCTCTTGGAATGAGTTTCACTGAGTTTCAAAACTTGCTCCCCACAGGGAAGTTCCCCAAGGAACTCATTCAAAGAAGCATCCAGCTTGTTCTGATAGCATTATCTTCTATGCATGAAAGCAATGTCGTCCATACTGGTATGGCTATAAAGCTGGGTGAAAAGAGTAATGGATGGAATCAGTGTAAGCTGATGATCATAGATCTTTCACCGAACAACATACTCCAAGGAGTGCAAGATATCTCCATCTTGTCCAGAATGGAGGAAGATGAAATAGAACGACCAATTGCCAGAAAGGTCCTCAGCAACCGCAATATTTACTACTCCCGTCCAATGCCTTTGTGTACAGGTTTGCCAGTTGTCTGTGATCTGGGCGAAGCTAGAATTGGCAAAGAAAGGTATAATGATGATATCATGCCAGGAATTTACCGTGCACCAGAAGTCATCTTAGGTATGGAATGGGATTACAAGGTTGACATCTGGTCAATTGGGAATGTGGTATGTACTCATTCGTTGTACCATGTGCATTATGGCCAACATGCCGGCTGATACTTGATGAAAGGTCTGGGATCTTGCAGAGGGCCACCACCTTTTTTTTGCTAAAAGGAATGGTAAGCTCAGTGATGAGCAGCATCTGGCTGAGATGATATCACTTATGGGCCCTCCGCCTTTAAAGTTCTTGAGGAGGAGTAAAAAGTGTGAAAGGTTCTGGGATAGGGAGGGTATGGTTTGTTTTGCTTATTGCTAACGAGCTGTTTACTAATGGATCGCTCAGGTAATTGGACAGGCTCTATACGCATACCAGAGCAGTCTCTTGGGCTCAGGGAACTTCAGCTCTCCGGCGAGGACAAAGTCCCTTTCCTAAAATTCTTACGCAGGATATTTCGATGGCTTCCGGAAGAACGACCAACAGCAGAAGAACTCGCGTATGATGATTTTCTGATGCAGCCATTTATGGAAACAAGAGATCAATAAATAGAGACTAGAGTTTGGAGGAGTTGTTGGAGCTGGGAAAGACATGAATGCGGTGTAGTGTTATCGTTCATATGATGAGTGACGGACTATACAATAGAGTGTCCTGCAATCCATAATCGCAGATGATCACCATGCGTTGGCAGTCACCCGTGCTCAAATCGAGTCATGCACACCCGATCGACTCTTGGTGGCCCATCTGTATGTGACGGCCCCTCATGTCGCAGGGTCCGTAACAGGTGGGACCTGACGAGTTCATTTAACATAAATATATGCGTTGACTGAGGTAGAACAAAGGCACAATATCGCCCAAACGACAAAGAGATGTTTTGGCAACGATATCCATGCTCCATCTTGAGCCTTAATTGCTATAAAGTGCGGCATTTGAAGTGTAGGCCGGGGCTACACGGAAGAGGTGCCGATGCTGGGGCGGCTTCTTGCCCAATTGGATTCGCTCTGTACCGAAACCCGGAAAGATACCTTAACGTATACCCAAAATGGATAACTAGCGCGCCTAACGCTTGGTATCCGTAATTTCGATACTCGATTAGGATAAAATTTCCTGGTAGACCGCCAGATCTATGCGCCCATCTATATGGCTCGGCTCGGAACGGAGGTGACTCGCAAAAGAGAAATTCTAATCAAGGTAATTTCTGGCTGTCAAATTAATAGGCGGCCCACTTGCCAACTGAGAGTTGCAAATATAAGTTCTTGGAGCTGTTCTGGTGGGCGACGGCTTACAACTTCATTTACCTCCTCCTCATTTCCTTATTCTAGAGCGTCGCCGCTCCATCGAGTGACGCGAAAACCTCGAACAGATTAGAACACAGACTTTTGGGCCACGGCTTCTAGATTATGGCCCCGAACAACACGTCATATTTAATTGTCGGCGCCGGCGTGTTCGGTGTATCGACCGCCTACCACCTGATTCAGAAGTACCCCAATGCGACCGTAACTTTGGTGGACCGAGATGCATACGATGCCGAGTCTCGTGTGGCCGCCTCATGGGATTGGAACAAAGTCGTTCGCGCAGACTATGATGACATGACATATTGCAAATTAGCTCTCGAAGCGCAGGAAATCTTCAAGTCCGATCCACTTTGGCAACCATACTTTCATCAGACGGGTGTCTACTGGACATGCCGCAGCGACTATGCGCAAAACGTCATCACCAATCACAAGAAGCTTGGCCGCAACGACGATATCATTGCCCTTCCGGTCGCCGAAGCTCGAAAGCTATATAACGGAATTTTTGACAATGCGGATTATACTGGGGTCAAAGAGGTTCTCATCAATCGGGCCAGTGGCTGGGCTGCTGCTGGAGACGCCCTTCGAGCAGTGACCAAAAAGTGCTTAGATCTGGGAGTCAAGTATGTCAAGGCTGATATTGCGACTTTGGAATTTGATGGTCGCGGCTCTTGCATTGGCGTCAGGACGAGAGATGGAGATGTTCTATCGGCTTCACGGGTCGTAATTGCTGCCGGAGCGTTCACTCCCACCCTGTTGGAATGGAGCGCTGCGAAGAGCGGCAACGGAGGTCTAAGAGCCGGTGATCGTATCTTGGCCGCTGGTATCACGACAGGAATGGCACAGCTTGACAAGGAGCAATATGAACGGTTCAAGGATATGCCTGTTGGCTTCCAAGGCTATACACCGGAAGAGGGTAAGTTGCCATCATTCGAAACACGCCTGTGAACCAACTAAGAATATCTCAGGCAAGCCCTTCATTGGCACCATTCCTCCGACTAAGGATGGAGAGTTGAAATGGTGGGGTTCCAAGATTTTTACAAACACTCGCGAGGTTCTACCAGGCCGCCACATCTCCTCTCCCCCTCCCACGCACGATTACAACCAATGGAAGGTTCCCGGACCTCTGAAGCAAGATATTGTCGAGTCAAGAAACTTGTGGTATGGGCCTAAGAGCGCTGAATGGAAGATGACGAAGCATCGAATTTGCTGGTTTGTACTCCTTTTGATTGTGACCTTCGAGAAAATATCAGGTCTAATAATCCCCAGGGACGCTTTTACCACCTCTGCCGACTTTATAATTTCTCCTCATCCCGCCTCCAAAGGGCTATATGTGGCAACCTGCGGCTCATTCCACGGATACAAGTTCTTCCCTGTGCTTGGAAAATACATCCTTCAAATGATTGAAGGTGAGCTGGAACCGGAGCTGGTTGAGAAATGGGCATGGGACCGACAGCGCCCTGATTCATCCCAAAATGTTGAATATCCGAACGCGGAGATGAAGCATCTTCTGGAGCCCCCAGCGAAGCTCTAGTGAAGAGACAAAATCACTTCTGAGTATTATGCCACGAGAACAAGATCACGGTAAACATGTGTCACGTAATATCATAACCTAACGATAGGATGGGATCCCCATGCCAACAATGGGATATGAATACCATTGGAACAATAGGAGAGACTGGATGTATAACGAAACACCCTTAAACACATGTATGTGGTTCTTTGCGGTCAATTATACTTTGTCACTCGGATCTATTGTTGATCTACTTCACTGTTCGATATCGAGCCAAACATCCTATAAGTAGGGGAGCTCTTAGCACCCCAAGGGCCCGGCTCCGTGTATAGCATTGTACGTAACGGGACGGTTGTGAACAAGATTCAAGGCCTGAATACTTAAAGCAAGTATCACGCCGAAGACTCCGTTTCACCGCGCTCTGCCAGTAGTGTGTAACACCAGTCTGTTATAGATTCAAGTGTTTGCTAGGAAGCATCTAGGAAATTTTAAATGAGCTCATTACGAAGTGTGTGGCTCCCGTCAGCGAGCAATGGTTTCTATGGCGCCTTGTTTATTGCAGCTCTAGAACTGAGGCCACTTGCAAAAAGCCTGAAGTGTATACCTAGAGTTACTGTTTTCTTTGTTCTCTCACATCAACCCCATGGAACTAGACTCATTAAATACTCAAAGAGGTTATGATCCCTAGCCTCGGTCTTGATTGTTACTAAAGTCCTTGTTGAATTCATTCCTAACGAAAAATCTTCCACAGCAGACCCATCCCTCAAAAGACAGCTGAACTCCCCGCTTCGGGAAAGGGGCCGTCGTATCCTCCTAAATAGTTTTTGGCAGTGATTCATATATCATGAATGAGGCAAATTGTAATTTCAGGCACGCTGCTGCAAATTCTTGCGAAAGCCTAATGCTTTCAGCTATACGTCCTTTGTTTGATCAGGTTTGAGTCTTGATCTGTAATATCGGTTGTCCCAGAAGATCCATGTCGATCTAACCAAGGCCATTCCCAGGGCCCAATCTGTGACTAACTCTGCCATTTGGCTCCATTCTGGAATCTCGAATCTCCGAGATAGCGGGATTTGTCCATTCAACAAAAAGGTCTACAGCACGCAGACGATCGGGGAGAGTCGAAGCCGCTAGCTGCAGGCTTTGTGCTGTCGTCAAAGCGCAGCCCCAAGTATCGTCGATGGTGATCATCATATTAAGCGCAACAGCAGCATCCCGGATTGTTCGCGCCTTAGCAACTTTCTTGTTCCATTTGCAACTTATATACATACCAGGCTTTATATAGGATACCATACTATGCATCATCGAAAAGTCACTGGTTACAAAGCGGGTATCCCAAAGCGGCCAACAGATACTAGTGAGGCAGTCAGGAAAAATAAGATTCCGCCGCGCCCGCTGTACCCGCTTGCCACCGACACTGACCAGCACGTTCCTAAACTTCACCATCCATTACATACATTGTAGAAAATTCCCGTCATGTCTCAAGCCCAGTCATACCGTAAAAGAGTGTCTGTCGCTTGTGATGTTTGCCGAAGGAAAAGAATCAAGGTAAGGGAACTCGTTAGCAGTTAAACTTAATCAATTGGTACCAAAGCTATGAGCTTCTATGAGCTCTAACGTTCGATATTGATTTAGTGTGATGGTGCCAAACCATCCTGTGCTGGATGCTTGGGCCAGGCTGAAAAGTGTGAGTATCAGTATGATAAGGAGAAACGCAAGTAAGCATAATTTCGGTTATATTCCTCGTCACTCTGTCGTTGACTCGAATCAAGGCCACCAACCAAGCAGCACATACAAGCACTGCAGGCTCGTATTGAATTTCTGGAGTCACAATTAGCCCAATATCAGCACAAAGAAGGGAAGACTCTTACTACCTCAACTCACCAAATGTTAGACCGAGATGAAACATTTGGGAGTAAAGAACCTTCTGGCACTCAGCCTCGATCCCTAGACCCGATTGACGATATCACTGATCTTCTTGGGGGCCTAAGCATTGGGGAAGGCGATCAGCTGCGATACTTTGGATCGCGGAGCAATCTCAGCTTCGTGGAACGGCAGGGCACAAAACACACTACCTTTCGTCAAAATTCACATCAGCCATTACAGCGTATCGATATGAATGCCCAAATCCAGGAAGAACTCCTTGATATTTACTGGAAGTGGCAGAACCCTTGGCAGTACCTTGTTTATCAAAAGATGTTTCTCAGGGGTCTGGAAAACCAAATAGACGATGGATACTGTACCCCGTTGCTTCTTTACTCCATGATGGCTTTGGCAGCGAGATACTCTGACAATCCTGAAGTCCGCACTGTTCCCAATGATCCGAGTACCGCAGGTGACGGTTTCTCCCACAAAGCCCGAGCTCTCTTATTCGAAGAGATCAAGGCTCCACGGGTTTCCACAGTAGTGGCCGCTGCACATATATCTCTATATGAAATGGCCAAAGACAATGAACCAGCTGGTTGGATCTACCTCGGTATGTGTACCTCCCAACAAACCCTTCGTTAAAATATCCCCTTTATCTGGTAGCTCATTTCGGACGCAGGAATTGCTATTCGGATGGCGTATAATCTGGGACTACATATTGACCCACATTTGTGGGTTTCTTCGGGATTCATGGCTTCTGAAGATGCTGAGCTGCGGTCAATCGCATGGTGGGGTTGTTATATAATTGAAAAGTAAGCGTGCAGTTTACTCACGTGTTAACAACGCTCTAACGGACAAGATTGTTTACTGTCGGCATTGGTCGACCAAGTATCATTCATGAGCGCGATATACAGGTCAATTTCCCATCCAATCTAGCCGATGTTGAATATGGCCAATGGAACGGAGACTCGATGCCCTCGATAGACCGTTCACCTTTATCCTACTCTATCACTACTTTTCATAATACATGTCGACTTTTACGCTTAGCAACACGTCCACTAGATGACATGTAAGAACTCTATCATTTTATTCTTTCGACTCTTGGCCGCTTCGGTCAAACCGCTCATGTTCGCCTATAGATATACCCCTGAACAATTTGTTACCTCGGCCGAGAAGAAGAGTATTATGACAAAAACAAATATAGCGTTAACATCTTTTTATAACAACTTACCAAGTGTTCTTCGTCTGCCACCGACTTCGTCAAGGCCGTTGCCGCCGCATATGTATTGTTTCCAGTACGTGCCATGACCGACGTTGAAAAGTCCTCAATACTGACTGATTATCCTTCAGCATGCACTTTTACACTTTGGTCATCCTTCTCCATCGACCATTCATCATTATACCCAGCAACGCCCGCCCTCCTCAGCGCTCCATGAATGGAGCTGTCTCTACTAGCCTGGAAACATGCACAAAAGCCGCAGAAAAGGTAACAGTTCTGCTTAGGGCTTACGCTAAATTCTTTACTTTGGTAAAGACCGCCCCATTCGTCGCAATTTCAAGTTAACGGAACTAGTACTAATATTCTTTATTACCAGAGGAAAATATCGATATCCGTAGTCGACCCCGCCCGTACCGCCGCATTCATCCATCTATTCAACAGTACCTCCAAAGACCACCAGATCCGGGATAAATCCAGACAGCTTTTTCTCGAAACGCTCCGATATCTAGAGCAAATGAGCATCGCCTGGGGCTGGGCAAAACGTTCAGTGAGGGCACTTGGCATGATTGCACGAAAATGGAGGGTGCATGATATTCTGAACAACCAGGACTCATCGTCTGTCGAACCATCTCTTGCACATCAGGATGAACACCAGGGCCGTGATTCAGAGCTTGCAGGTGACTTTGATTCATGGCTACAGGGCCCATTTGACTTACCCTCGGCAATTCAGGTCATAGACAATAACAATTCCTCGCTAGGAGAGGGCTTCAATTTGGAGCAGGAATTATTTCATCTTCAAGACTTTTTGTCTGTAGGTGATGATGCATATTCGTCAAGCTCCTTTTTGAACACCGATTGGGAGCATGAACTTGGTCTCTGACGTTTGAGGGACTTCTGTCTGGATCGTCTATGGACCTTATCAGTAATTTGAATGAAGGCATTGTGCAATGGAGTTTTCAAAGCATAGAAGGGGGACAGTGTATTGTATTTATTACGCCATCGGAATACCCATCCAATTACTACTGCGTTTATTATATTCGTAGATTATTGTATGCTTTATACGTAACGCTAGTAATATTGAGATTTCAGGAAATTTTGAATATTCCGAGACTTGAGACCATGTAGTATATAGAAAGCGTGTTCCTTGGCTACGCAGCTCCGCGTTACACATAGCAGCCAGCCCTAATCATGAGACATCTGCCCACCTTCAGACTATAAGTTCGTTTTACAACTGAATTAAGCATCATTAATCAAAGCCCCTGTATCCAACAAAGACTGAACAAAAGAAGTAACCGCACGAACAGCAATCACCGCAATCCTATCCCCATCGCCCGCATCAGGATCAAAAGAACAGACAGTCAAAGACCTAGGCGTACTCCTCCTAGGCACAAGATCCATACAACCCAACAATTCGGACTCAAATAATCCCCCGGGAGAAGGATAATCATTAACCTTCCCATATGACTCGTCCAATACATCCAAATCCAAATGCACCAAAGCCGGATCATACGACTTTGCTTCCAACTGCTTACTCAACTCACCCACAAAATCAACCTTACGCTCGGTTTCACCCCATATAGCAACCATCCCCGCATCAATTACCCTCTGACGCTGAACATCACTTTGGTCCCGTAGCCCACAGTACAAAAAGTTACCATCATACGTGAAAGGCTTGAACCCCGGAACTGTCCTCGTAAGAGTCTTCCAGCTCTCGCCACGGAGCATGGAAAGTCCCATCGCGTCGAGATAGCCGTTCTCGTTGACATCCGGTGAGTCTAGATCACCGTGAGCGTCGAAGTAGATGAATTTCAGATCATCGGTGTTGAGACCGCAGGCAACACCGGCGCTTGCCATGCAGTTGCCTGATAGGATGATAGGGAAGGTATTGTTCTCCACGGCTTGGGTGACGGCCGTAGATGTGCGTCGGAGGAGCTCGAAGCTGCGACCAATTTCGCCTTCGAATTCGTCGACACGGTCGAGTTCGATGAAGTTGACTTTTACGCCTAGGTCTTCGAGGGCTTGGATGATTCCGTGTTGGCGGATGCGGTGGGGGCCGTTGCCGACTCGGTGGTCGCGGATGCCGACGTGGTAGGGTGAGAAGATGATGGTGATGGCGTTGGCGGGCATTATGGTGATGCTTCAACTCGTTGTCGTTTACCGAAGACAAGGAATTTGGGGGGGGGTGTATTTTTGAGTCTTGCATTGTTAGTTGGAGGGTTACATCCCTATATAGTGGTTGGTGCTGGATGCAAGTGGGGAAGAGGCTTTGTATCGAGACTGTAAGTTTAAATACGGATGCTCAGCTGTAAAATCGATATAAACAGATTGCCAATCATTTGGTCTACTAATACACTTCCATACTAGAATAATAGTCACCCAAATAAATAAAGGTGCAAGCCTGGTGCACGTGGTAGAATTTAAAAGCTTTTTAAATGGTTTTGATATTTGGAGGGGGTTGTATAGAATCCTTATGTTTCTCTTACACTTACTTGTAAAAATTGTACCTTTCATGAAAACATGTTTTCACAACGGTGGCCCACACGGAAAGGCATTATCCAGGCGAATGACATTGCAACATCAAACTCGTTCACGACTGATTCCGCAAATGATCCTCCAACGACTAGTATGCAAACGATATTGAATTGTTCGATTCAAATACCATTGGTGGAATTTAGTGTACCGAGAATAAGGACACAAAAAAAGTTGGAATTATCCTAGTGAACGCTCCAACCCTAATTTTGTGTTGAGAAGACGGACACCCTGTTTCAAGGACATATACAATAGCTTACTACTGTGGCATTCATTATTACTGCTATTTAACACAGTCCCTGGTATTTAACTTGATCAATATAATTCGTTAATGTAATAGATTGTAGCATTATCATGACAATCGTGTCCCTGGATCCACACCAAACAATACGAATTCGCTAACTTCTTCGCGCTTCTATATTGTCTGCCACCGCCCACCAGGCCTACTAATGACCGAGTCCCAATTGTCGCGTGTTTTGGATTGCCGTTCGAGACTGTTGAACATATAATCAACCCTGACGTCATGAAGCGCGAGAATAGCATCTATACAATCCTTCGGAAATAATTATACAATCCTTATATGACTCTTGTTCAAACACTCAGGCTTCCTGGCTCCTAGGCCATTTGCAAGTTACTATATACTATTTAGCTCGGCTGAGCAGCTGCAAAGCTTCGCTTCCGTCGCCCTGAGTGTCGTATGCATCAGTTTTAGCTCCTGAACAGAAGATAGACCACATCAATTTTCAAACTTGCAATGTCCCTTCGGGCTTTGGCAGCGTACAAGTGCTGGTTTGGGTTGACCTGATGGATCAGAAGTCAAACTATTCGACTAAAAGAACATACACGGAATACCTCAGAATCCAGCTAGGGTCTCGGGTTATCATGGAATTATAGTAGCAGAAGAGGGTCAACAATAAGTCTCTCAACAGATCAAGTGACCGACTTGCTCCATGTAAGGCTGAGATCACAGAGCTATTTCATTATGACAGCACTTGCTACCGCAGCAGTGATAAGGCTTACACGTCATGCTGGGCACACTTATTCCCTGACTGAGAACTATACCTCTGGTTGCACTGTACGCATAGCCCTGGGGTTGCATATTTGCTGACCAATCACGATCCGATCTGTGGATGGTGGACACCACTCTGTGTCTAGTAGGTGGCCCTATGCGTCTTCCGCATTATGCGCAAGTCTACTCGATTGGAGCGTAGATGCCAAAAGCGCACCGAGTAGGGACTTCTATATTCGGGCCGCTGAGGACCAGAAACTAAGTTAAACTTAAGCTCGGCCCGGTTACGCAACAGCCGGGCCGAGCATATTATTGAATACCATGGCGAGGTTCATGCCAGCCAAAGAACAGAAAGCAGTGCACGCCAGTATGGGTGAATTCGGGAGGACTAGGAACAAAAGAACAAAGAAATCGGATGGTAGGATATCTAGCTTTGCGCTTCTCCAGCTGGGGACGTCGCGATCAGGCCTGGAACATGTCCCTGAATGGATCGAATAAACCGTTGAGCTAGCCTTTCAACGTCACTGGAAACTTTGCCTAGCTCGTATCCGCATAGATTGGCTTTTGTCGACCTCTCATCTCAGGTTTGTGGCAAGATATGCTTCTCACAAATGGGCCAGACTATTACATTGACATGGCTGTGCTTCTGTTTCAACGTGAAATGATCGGTCATCAATAGATGAATGAGCTTGCAATTGACATGAAACTGGGCCTCTGTTTATCAGTTGGAAGTTAATCACCTGGCCAGCCACTTAATCCATGTTTTGAAGGCTTGTATTCGCCTTATGTAGACACCAGCCGGTATGAATGTCACCTCTCACAAGTGGTACAGGCGGCCCTATATCGGCCCGAGCATACAACAACCCGAATAACCATTTCGATAAGTTCGCCAGAAATATACCTGGGAGATGGTCCATCCAATCACTCGCAGCCTTAACTGGTGGCTGATTATTATCTCCCCCGCATTCGATTATCGCTGCTCCCCGCATCGGCCTTACAATCCATAAACCTGGGGAAATTGTGGAGAACGCGTGGTGCTATACATCATTGAGTCGATGTTGGCCCAATCTGGACTCGTATCCCTGGTGTTCAGTAATTAGACAAATGCCGCATTCTATCAGCTGAGCTGGTGTGTGCGAAATGTGGCTTGCCACGCATCGCGGGGGCAAGCGCGGTGATTCGTATTGCATTGTGGGAGGTTTCATTGATATATGGCTGCAGCCTGCTTCGATTTTTTCTTGAAAACCAATCTATCGGAAATTTTTATGCTCTTTTGAAATATATGCCGTCAGCCATGTCATCTACGGACATTGAAAAGCCCCCTAGTGTCGAACGGATCGAGGATATCGATAAGCCTGAAATCCATGATGTGGACTACGATGAGGAGTTCACGCCTGCAGAGCAGCGCAGGATCATCCATCGGGTCGATCGTCGCTTGGTGACTATGGCTGGTTTGGCGTATTGCATTTCGCTTATGGATAGGACGAATCTTAGCATGGCTGCGGTTGCAGGGTAGGTTTCCTTTCAGCTTATAATAGATAGTTGGTCTGTGTTGTGTCAAATCGGCTGTTGACTCGAGGGCAGTATGACAAAAGACTTGCAACTTGGGGTTGGGACTCGCTATGTGAGTTATACACTTTCTGTGTTATGGGATGTAATTGCTGACAAGGGACAGTCTGTCGTGATCCTCGTTTTCTTTATACCCTACGTGGTCTTCCAACCTCCGATGACGGTGATTATCCGGAAGGTGGGCCCGACTCTGTTTCTGGGCACTCTGGTCATATCGTGGGGAGCAATTCTCGTTGTACGTTGAGTCCATGCTCTCGATCCTTTCTAAAGTTGCGGTCTGACGATGACTGCTATAGGGAATGGGCTTTGTCAAGAACTGGAAGCAAATGGTCGCAATCCGTGTGCTCCTTGGTGCACTAGAAGCAGGTGAGTGTGGCTTCGTGTAACACAATTAATTGCCCTGTCAGCGAAGAAATCTGGCTCAATTGGCACCTCGCAGGTTACTTTCCCGGCTGCGTGTACCTCCTGTCAAGTTGGTACGCCCGATGTAAGTGGCGCACACCAACATTCATGTATCCTGACTGACAAAACAGATGACATCCAAAAGCGATACTCGGTCTTTTACCTTATCGGCTGTGTAGCATCAGCACTAGCCGGGGTACTTGCCTTTGGTCTGATGCAGATGGGAGGCATCCAGGGCATATCAGGATGGAGATGGATATTCATTATGGAGGGCGTGGTATGTAATTCCTTCGAAAAGGCAACCTAGTGTTAATGATCTCTAGATTACGGGCGCTATCGGACTGTTGACCTTTGTCTTCATGGTTGACTTCCCTGAAAAGGCACACAAGTCTTGGAAGTTTCTGAACGAGAGGGAAAGTGCTTTCATTGTGAGACGCATTAACCGAGACCGTGCCGATGGTAACGAAGAGCCCTTTACATTCAAGCGATTCTTCAGCCCGGCCCTCGACCTGAAGATCTGGGGTTTTGCATTGATTTGTCTGTCAGTTCTTCATGCCTCTCCACTCTTACTGAGGGTTGTTGTCTGACGACAAGCAGGTGCAGCACTACGGTCGCATACGCCATCGCGTATTTCCTGCCCATCATCCTCCAAGAGGGAATGGGCTTCAGCACCGGCGCCTCACAGTGTCTGGTCGCACCTCCCTACGGCTTTGCAGGCATAGTGATGTACACGACAGCCTGGATCAGCGATCGCTATCGTATGCGGGGACCCATCGTGGCGTTTAATGCCGTAGTCGGCATCATCGGCCTTCCCCTGATGGGGTTTGCTAAGGGCAATGCCGCGCGCTACGTGGGGGTGTTTCTGGTGGTCGCCGGGGCGAATTCCAATATCCCCGCTGTCATGGCCTATCAAGCCAACAATATCCGGGGCCAGTGGACGCGCGCGTTCTGCAGCGCGACGCTCATTGGAGTCGGGGCCATTGGGGGGATTGTCAGTAGTCTGGTGTTTCAGTCGAAAGATGCGCCAGAATATCGACCGGGGATATGGACGACTATTGCGTGAGTATTTATAGCTGTTGGTGTGTTTGTTGCACTAAGCTAAGTGTGATACAGGTGCAACCTTATTACGATGATCACGGTGGCTGCACTGAGTGTGTGGTTCCGATATGCGAATAAGCAAGCCGATCGGGGAGAGCGTGTTATTGAGGGGTCCGCCGATTTCCGGTATACTATCTAGGTGGGAGAAAGAAAATTATGTGTGCTTTGGTATGGTGTGGATTTAAGCTGGTTTCTCTGTTGGATGGAAGGCGATATTAGTATGCTATTTGTGTAGTCAAAAACTGGTGATAGCCAATAATGTGGAGCACAATGGAATTTGCCCGTCGGGAAAGCAGCCGGGGTGTTCATGTTCTAGATCGGGAGCTGCACGCTACTATCTATATTCTTGCATAACTGCTTGCACTGTGTAAGCAAGGGATGTGCAACGTCCATGATTATGTCGATGAGGTAAGTCTACACAGTACCAATGAACAGCTGAGACCAGTTGTACACAGTAAGTACAGAGATACAAAATTCACTTGCAGCTGCGCACAGCGCGCAAGGGGAACCCTTACCGACGGGCCCAGCTCCACGGGGAAAGTCATAATTGCATCACCGGGGAACGCTATCGGAGGAGCTCCCACTGCGGAGGAGAGGTTGTTCATCCCATCATCGGCATTTTGTAGGGGGTCAATTGGTGAGGAAATTTGACAGTGGGGCATCTGCTCAGTTAGATATATTTAGGATGTCACAGATTATCTTTAACGATCAGATATTGCGAAGTAACAATGCACAAACTGATCAAAGAGAAGAAATGCACGTATGAATTTCCCGCGGAAAAGGGCAGCTTATCGCGGGCTTATCGCAAATGGCGGGGCTCCATCGCGAGGGACCGGAGCTGTATCCCGCGTTTTGATTGGCCCGGGGCCAGCGTTATCGGCCGGACAGACAGTTTCCCGACGCGAGTATCCGTGGCGCCCGCGGTCGAGGAGGATTAATTATTCTTGCTATCTGCTCCCCTCCAGTCGATTCTTTTCTTTTATCACTCATTGTCGCGAATATTTTCATCTTCTCTTCTCTCCTCTCCTCTCCTCATTCCCTTGACCCTCTTCTACTCAACTGTGTTGCGCTATCTCATGTGCTGAACTCTCGCGCAGCCGGGTCTATACCTCCCCCTGCCCTATACTCCCTTTCTACCACCCACCCACCTACCTACCGTCCACCATTCTTGAAATCGTTGGACCTGCTCAATTGTAGGTATGGCTGCATCCTTGTGCGCTCTGCGTGGCACTCGCCAGCTGGCGCTGCGCTCACGATTGCGCGCTGCTCCCTCGCCAATTGCGGTGCGGAGAGCCTCCCCCTTGATCCGCTCCCTTCACACCACCACACAGCAGTCGCCCTCCGCACGACGGCCCGTATACACCAGCTCCGTCGCGGATCATGGCGTGCCTCATCCCCCGGATCTTTTTCAACCCCTCGATACCTTCCCCAGACGTCATATTGGCCCCTCTCCCGATGCCGCCAAGGAGATGCTTGCCACCTTGGATCCTCCGGTAGCATCGCTCGATGAGTTCGTCAAGCAGGTGCTGCCGGCGGATATCCTGTCCGAGAAGGACTTGAAGGTGTCTGCTCCGCACTCCACTGCCAATCTTCCCCACAGCAGCGTGCACGGGGGCTTGGGCGAGACGGATATGCTGAAGCTCTTGGATACCTACCGCAAGCAAATCGACGTTTCGGGCAAGACATACCTCGGAACGGGCTACTACCCGACCATTGTGCCCCCGGTCATCCTCCGCAACGTCCTGGAGAACCCTGCGTGGTACACTAGCTACACTCCCTACCAGCCAGAGATCAGTCAGGGCCGTCTGGAGTCCCTCCTGAACTTCCAGACGCTGACTGCTGATCTCACCGGTCTGCCCTTCGCCAATGCCTCCGTTTTGGACGAAGGTACCGCAGCCGCTGAGGCCATGACCATGTCCTTGGCCACCCTACCCATGTCGAAGCAGAAGAAGGCCGGCAAGTCCTACGTGGTGTCTCACCTCTGCCACCCTCAGACCATTGCAGTGATGCGCTCCCGCGCGGAGGGCTTTGGCATCAACCTGGTGGTCGGCGATATTCTGGCGGATGACTTCAAGCTGGTCAAGGAGCAGGGTGATAAGCTGATTGGTGTTCTGGCTCAGTACCCCGACACCGAGGGTGGTATCTACGACTTCCAGTCCTTGAGTGATACGATCCACGGCAGCGGTGGTACCTTCAGTGTCGCTACCGACCTTCTGGCTTTGACTCTGCTCAAGGCACCTGGCGAGTTCGGTGCCGATATTGCGTTTGGAAGCGCCCAGAGACTGGGTGTGCCCATGGGATACGGTGGTCCTCACGCCGCCTTCTTCGCCTGCGCAGACAAGTACAAGCGTAAGGTTCCCGGCCGTGTTGTGGGTGTTTCCAAGGACCGCCTGGGCAACCGTGCCTTGAGATTGGCTCTGCAAACCCGTGAACAGCATATCCGCCGTGAAAAGGCCACTAGCAACATCTGCACGGCCCAGGCCCTCCTTGCCAACATGACCGCCATGTATGCCGTCTACCACGGACCTGCTGGCTTGAAGGCTATCGCCCAGCGCATCATGTCGATGACCACTACTCTGCAGGCCAAGCTCGCCGGACTGGGCTACAATGTTCCGATCAAGTCGAACAGCGCTGATGGTGGTGCTCTCTTCGACACTGTTGTTGTCGAGCTGTCCGGTGCCCAAGAAACCGATGCCATCATTGCGGCTGCTCGTGAGCAGTCCATCTTCCTCCGCCGGCTGAACGACACCAAGGTCGGAATTTCCCTGGACGAGACTGTCGGCCGTGAGGAGGTGAAGTCTATCCTCCGTGTCTTTGCCGCCCACGCCTCCAAGGCCGAGGTTGGCTTGGAAGAGGATCTGGCTGTTGCTCCTGTTCCTGCCAGCCTGGAACGTACCTCTGCCTATCTGACCCACCCCGTGTTCAACACCCACCACTCGGAAACGGAAATGCTGCGTTACATTCGTCACCTCGAGTCCAAGGATCTGTCCCTGGCACACTCCATGATTCCTCTTGGATCCTGCACCATGAAGCTTAACGCCACCACGGAGATGATCCCGATCTCGTGGCCCGAGTTCTCTCAGATGCACCCGTTCCTGCCGGCTGATGTGGCCAAGGGATACACCCAGATGATCGACGACCTGGAGCAGCAGCTGGCAGACATCACTGGCATGGCCGAAGTCACCGTGCAGCCCAACTCCGGTGCACAGGGTGAGTTCGCTGGCCTGCGTGTCATCAAGAAGTACCAGGAGGCCCACGAAGGCGACAAGCGCAACATTTGCCTGATCCCCGTCTCGGCTCACGGTACCAACCCTGCCAGTGCTGCCATGGCTGGTATGCGCGTGGTGACTATCAAGTGCGACACCAAGACCGGCAACCTGGACCTGGAAGACTTGAAGGCCAAGTGTGAGAAGCACAAGGACGAGCTGGCGGCCGTGATGATCACCTACCCTAGCACCTTCGGTGTGTATGAGCCTGGCATCAAGCAGGCCTGTGAGATTGTCCACCAGCATGGCGGCCAGGTCTACATGGACGGCGCCAACATGAACGCCCAAATCGGTCTGTGCTCTCCTGGCGAGATTGGTGCCGATGTGTGCCACTTGAACCTGCACAAGACCTTCTGTATCCCCCACGGTGGCGGTGGTCCTGGTGTTGGTCCCATTGGTGTGGCCGAGCACCTGCGGCCCTACCTGCCCTCTCACCCGGGCAGCGAGTACCTCCAGTCCAAGCGGACCGAGTCGTCCTCGCCTCCGATCAGTGCCGCTCCTTGGGGTAGCGCTAGCATCCTGCCCATCACCTTCAACTACATCAACATGATGGGCTCCAAGGGCCTTACGCACGCAACTAAGATCACGCTGCTCAACGCCAACTACATTCTGGCCCGTCTCAAGGACCACTACCCTATCCTGTACACCAACGAGAATGGCCGCTGTGCCCACGAGTTCATCCTCGATGTGCGCAAGTTCAAGGACACTTGCGGTGTTGAGGCTATCGATATCGCCAAGCGTCTGCAGGACTACGGCTTCCACGCCCCGACCATGTCGTGGCCCGTGGCCAACACGCTGATGATCGAGCCCACCGAGTCGGAGAACAAGGCAGAGCTTGACCGGTTCTGCGATGCCCTCATCTCCATCCGGGAGGAGATCGCCGCCGTGGAGAGCGGCGCCCAGCCCCAGGAGGGCAATGTGCTGAAGATGGCACCGCACACCCAGCGTGACCTGTTGTCCAGCGAGTGGAACCGGCCGTACACCCGCGAGACCGCGGCGTACCCGTTGCCGTACCTGGTCGAGAAGAAGTTCTGGCCGTCGGTGACTCGTGTCGATGATGGTAAGCACCTATACCACTATTCCCTTGAAGAATTTTGCTAATCTGTTGCAGCATACGGTGACCAGAACCTCTTCTGTACCTGCGGACCGGTGGAGGATAGCGAGTAGATAGTCTATGATACCCATGTGTACGATTGCGTTTGATACCATATTTTTCAACATTCTGGATTGGCATTGCATATTGATACGACGTGCATGACCAGCGATTCAACATTGTCATGATAGACATGGATGGCGTTTTAGAAATTTTAATAAAAACATGAATGTTCCATCAATCAATTTAATCCACCCAATTGCAAACAGACCAAACACTTGATACCCCAGATAGGCAATCCGTATGTTATCGTCGCACTAGCTGTTTTCAGGATCGGAGCCGGCCGAGCAGCCCCCGGAACCGGACGCGACGGGCCTCACTATAAGACGTGCCATCTGCTGGGCTGTTGCCCTTCGTGATTTTTCGGTTTCTGAAGTTTTGGAGCGTTGCGCTTTTACATTGCTGGCGCATAGATAGCTTATTCAATCTCTATCTAGCATTGGGCTCAAGTGCGCGCAGCACCCGCATCACCCCGCGTCAGCTTTGCACTACCCGCGACGCAGATTGGCACATTCCCCACACAAGCTCCTAGCTAGCAGCTGTCAGCTACGAACCTACCTACATACAACACTCTTTCCTGCATTTACAGCAAGCATTGAGCACAGCAACATGTCTCCCAAATACACCCTCTTCGTGGGAACCTTCATCCAGCTCCCCCGCTTCAAGTCCGAAGAGGGCCACCAGCTCGCCATCACCCGCGGCGCGCTCTGGGTGTCCACAGCCGACGGCACAATCGAAGGCTTCGACTGGTCCATTGCCAATGACAGAGACCTGAAGAGATTCCTCCGTCACAAGGGGTGGACTGTCGTGGGTGATAAAGATGGTCACAATAAGAACAAGCACGGGGTGGAAGTGACGTTGGTGGTTGCGCGAGAGGAGGAGAATGAGTTCTTCTTCCCTGGGTTCATCGGTATGCCCCCCCTGCCCTACACATCCCAACTTCCCAGCATACACCACTAACACAGAGAAACATCCAATAGACACTCACATCCACGCCCCCCAGTACCCCAACGCCGGCCTCTTCGGCGACGCCGGCCTCCTCCACTGGCTCAAGAACTATACCTTCCCCATCGAAGCCTCCTTCGGCAGCTCCAAATTCCCCTCCATCCCTCCTCCCAACGCCTACCGCGTCTACAACCAAGTCGTCGCCCGCACCCTCGCAAACGGCACTACCTGCGCCTCCTACTTCGCTACCATCCACGTCCCCGCCACTAACCTCCTCGCCTCCCTCTGCCATGCCCGCGGCCAACGCGCCCTCATCGGCCGCGTCTGCATGGACCGCCCTGAACAATGCCCCGATGACCTCCGCGACGAGTCCCCGGACATCGCCATCGACAAGACCCAAGCCAGTATCGACCACATTCACACCATCGACCCGGAGGGGGCCCTCATCCAGCCGATCGTGACCCCGCGGTTCGCGCCATCATGTACCCCGCGCTCGTTGGGGAAACTGTCCAAGCTAGCGGCCAGCTACTCGCCCCCATTACATATCCAAACCCATCTCGCTGAGAACCTGGACGAGTTGGATCTCGTGAAGAAGCTGTATCCGGAATCGAGGGACTATACCTCCGTGTATAACTACTTTAAACTACTTACCCCGCGCACGATCCTCGCACACTGCGTACATCTCTCCGACGACGAACGCACCATGATCGCCGAGAATGACGCTAAGCTCTCCCACTGCCCCGCGTCCAACTCTGCCCTCGGCTCCGGAATCTGCGAAGTCCGCAAGGCCATCGACTCCGGCATAACAGTGGGATTGGGAACCGACGTAAGCGGCGGATACAGTCCCAGCATACTGGAAACAGTCCGCCAAGCGTGCTTAGTATCGAGGTTGTTGCCGCACATGTCTCGAGCTCAACCTGAAGAAAGAGAGGGTACGCCAGATGATAATGACGACAAAGTCCCTCGCGAAGTCCTCTCCATTGAAGAAGCACTTTACCTCGCCACGCGCGGCGGAGCAGCCGTCGTCGATATGGCGGATCAGATTGGTGGGTTTGATCAGGGGATGGTGTGGGATGCGCAGTTGGTCAAACTGGGGAAGTTTAATCCGGCGGGGAGGTGGGGGAAGACGGGTGGGGTGGAGAGTGCGGTGGATGTGTTCGATGAGGGTCAGAGTTGGAAGGAGAAGGTGCATAAGTGGGTGTGGAATGGGGATAGTCGGAATGTGAGGATGGTGTGGGTTGGGGGGAGATTGGTGCATCGGGTTTGGGAGGAGGGAGAGGATAGAGATGGGAGGGGGAAGGGTGGGTGGGTGAGGTGGGTGATGGGGGCGGTTGGGGTGGGAGCTGTGGGGTGGGTGATTGTTAGGAGGTTGGGGGGAGGTAGATGATCTTTTGTTTGTTGGGTGGGAGGTGTTGGGTATATAAGGTCCGTATATTATCCTATAGATGAACGTGTGGGTGCATTATTTTGTTGGATAGACTAGAGTTTATAATCAATTGTCAACTAGGGCTATTATGAACACTGCATCAAGCTATACTCTACCAACGAGTGCAGTTGCCAACGTATGACAACCTTCACTGAAACAACTCCACACAATCAAAGATCTAATCATATCAGCCATCCCATCCCATACCTGAAAAGAGGGGTGGGAAGGGGGAACTTACAAAATTCGGGCTCAAGAAGTCATCCCCAGAACTCCCCGAAATAACACTAATCGTGATCTACGCTCATCAGCACAGATCTCCACAACTCCCACAACGTATATTCAGGGTAAGGCAACGTACCGTATTCTCCCCCTCCACAATCGTCCCCTCAGGAACCGAAACATCGTAAACATCCCCATACCCTCTATACGCACCACGAGTCACGCCACGAGAGTCCAGATTCGTAGGTGCGGACGGCGCGGATCCTTCGTAGTCGTTGATCTGTTTATATATCTTAGCTATGCTGCACATAAAGGAGGAAGGAAAGAGGAAACCTACCGTAGCTTGAGGCCGTCCACCCGCGAACGACAGCGTAGTTCCGATACGCAGCGTCGCTGCACCAGTCTGGTCAGATGTTGCAGTGAACTTGATGGTTACTGGACTGTTGACGCTCTTGAAAATGGCCATGGGGAAATCAGTCAGGGAGGAGCTGCCAACGGTATAGGTTAGAGGGCCCCAGTCGGACATTCGGGAGTCGGAGGGGTGCATGCGGAGTTGGTTTTCTGCGTTGCGGAAGCCGGTTGGTCTATACCATGATGTGTTAGATGTGTAATTGATGTGTGTGGTAGAAGGGGGAGACTTACTGTCCGTCCCAATCGCCAATCTTGAAAATGGTCGTTCCTGTTTCGACGGAGCCGGAAATGTCCTTGCTTGTGCTCGAGCCGGCGCTGACGGTCACTTCGCTTGTGGCCACGACGTACTCGCCTTGATAATATACCATGGTGTATGTTCCTGGTTTCATGGCGGGGGAGGTGAAGCTGCCGGAGGAGGATGTGTATGTCCAGTATTGGGCGTCATCGTTGTACCTGCCCGGTTAGCTAGGGTTGATGGTTGTGTGGGTGAGAAGGGTGTACCAGTGAACGACCCAGTCGAAGCTCGAGTCAGCGCCTGACGCGGTTCCGGATACGGTTCCCCTGCCTGATTCGGCTACGTAGCCCTCGATGTCGAGGTCCGCGAAGAAGGACGTGTCAATGTCGGTGCTGGGAGTGCCGCTGCGGCTGAAGTACATCGAGTACGGTCCGTGAAGACCCATGCGGTAGGACTCGAGTTGCACGTGGCCCGAGTTCTGTATAGTAAGTAGCTGTAGATTTGAGAATATAGTAGTAAACGTACCATATACCAGTAGAGGGCGTTGTAGTCACCTCCGTTGTTGGAGTTGATGTCCCTGTAGCTGTGAGCATATTCCTTGCGATAGGGAGTATGTGCCTACCTGTGGAAAGGGCCACCGGAAGAGGTCTCGTATTGATTGAGGATCATACAGACGCGGTGCTCATCGCCCGCAATGCCTTAAATAGTCAGCGATAACCCTGTAGATATTCCATTATTTCTTACAGTGTCTCTGATCGTCAATGAAACGCTGGCTGGAGTAGAACTTGCTGCGAGTCTCGCCATCGACGAGGAACTGCCGTGCAATTAGCAACGTCATCGAAATTATGCAAAAGACATACCACGTCAGATCCTTCAATCGCCTCCCCATCGGCGGTGTTGGACACATCGCCGAATGGCTCCTCGTTGGGGAGTACATCTGAGTTGAGTCGAGCAATAAACCGCAATTCACCGATAGATGGCTCTGGTGGATGTTAGAGACTAACGTAGAAAACTTTGACACAATACTCACCCTCGGTAATGTAGGTTGCCATATGAATGATAGGATCCCCATCATGGACAACCATATACTGGGTCAATGTATCCGTTTCGCAGGTCACCTTGATGTAGTCGCCTGCTCCTAATCAGCTTGTCACTCTCGCCGTACTCAAAATCCACTTACCGCTCTTGGTAGCAGAAACTGTCGCAGTTCCAAGACCGGAGCCGATATGGCTACCCTTGCCGGAATACTGCAGCTCTGTGCCATAATGCACGATAGAAGTGATATCGCAACTTCCGCGATCAACTGTAAACACCAACGAGTTGGGAGAATTGGCGTTTATGACATAGGAATCATCGTTGGTCGTTATGCCAAAGTCTGCATTGACGACCCCAGCTGCAAGTGAGAGGAGCGACAGAAGCGACGTTTTGGACAACATCTTGGCGTTTGACATTGTCAGACCAATTCAAAGGTTTTCTTGTCAGTCGCGAGCTAGACACCTTAAATAGCTGTTTCCACAGGAGCACTGCCGAATCTTGAGTACCCATGGAGCCAGAGCCGTCAAGCTAGCGATTCTAATGCATGACCCCTGGTCTAAAGTCTTGGACAATGAGTAGCTTCCACCAATGGCTGGCTTGGCTCCTTCTGCAGCTGACACTGTATCAGACCTCTATTATGAAATCTCGTTTTCTAAGACCACCACGCACATTCAAGATGGCCAAATATAACATCATTGTATGTTACCATCTTTTCTTTCAGCACAGCATGTAGAGAAAAGCATTCTGCGGTCAAAAACTCCCACTGCCTCTGGAAGGGTACAGTCCATGATGTTGTCGATCATTTACCCAAATAATCACTTTAGAGGGCTTTGGACCCCATCCCATGTCTTGGCCAGACTCTTCAGTGGTGGACGGACTCGTTTCTTGGCTGGCGGACGGAGGGAGCTCCGCGCGATATCACCTGGTGTGACTGACTAGCATAAGCGCCAATCCACGAGTCAGAAGTGTCGGTTGCATTCCAGGGGGTTGCCTTCTCTAGGCTCTCTCCTCAATTTAATATATTCTTCGCCAAACCTAGACGGCAGTATGGAAAGCATCCGCACGTGGAACGGATCTTTGTGTCCTCGATATGTACGCGCTCCGCTAGATGCCAAGAGCTCAGGTTGATGCTGAAACGCACCATATGATGTCCGAGACAGCACCGGTGGACCGTACCTCGTCCCGAGCAACGCCGATCTTCTTAAGCGACATTTGCAGGATGCTTGGTAGTGTTTGTGCTATCGTGTATTTCAACGGCCTTTTCCAGCAACGGCTGTTTTGTAGAAATCCATCACGTTGTGTTTGTTTCGAATATTTATAGATGTCAACCCATGGTGCGTTCAGACACTCTTGCAAGTAGCTTAGTCCTGGATAGAAAAGGGATGATTCCAGGTAATACTATGCCTAGATTGCTCGAGCTGTCGTGGATCAGAACACCGTCACATAGCATATGTCAACCGTGCATCAAAGTCTTATATTTCAACGGCTCTCGTGAGATGCATCACACATTGGAAATTTAACCTTAAACTTGGGCTGCATCAGCTTATCGTTGTAAGCAAGGATCTGACGCAAGGGCCTATGTTGCCTCATTTGCTAAATGCTGTGATAATTTAAATCCCCTGTCAGTCAATGAAGATACTGGAGATGGGAGTCAACGGCACTCAGTCACAGCCTCATTTCAACAACAAAGATCTCACAAGAGATCCCATGGTTCCTGAAGCTGCAGACTTCAGTAGATCCTCTAAGATCCTAATTGATGGAGGCGATCGGCCCACCTGTCACAGGAGCTGCAAAAGCATGGGTCGGCAGATGCCGATGGCATGAGGATTTCCGAACGCAATTTGCAGAGGAATGCAAGGCAAGCCATGCAAAACAAACACTGAACGTTTGGTCTCGTGCAATCCCGAGCCAGACTCTCCGCCCGGAAGTAAACAGTCATTCCGGCCATGCTCAGCATTCTTCCTCACATTTCCATAGGATCTCGGCAATATTGCTCTTATTGCTCAATCGGCGTATACTCTTCATATCACTTGCTGATCTCAAAGCTGCAGTACAATTGATCACATTCGATCGTGCCTACATCTACGATGGAAGTCCTTCTCAAGGCGAACTACAGCTGAAGTTCGAGGTAACAGGCATGCTGATGGCTCGTCCAGCCCCAAGCTATGAAAGTTTGGACAGCTTCAGAGATTCAATCACTAGGCCCTGGACTAACATTTCATATTCTCTTCATCTCCCATCGATGCTACATGAATGCTGACTGAATTAGCAAACTGGCGATGCCGAGCATATCTTGCACACAGATTAATTTTACTAAGTTCAAGTCCAGAACACTACTCATACCCCTTGTACCTGTCTCAGTCAACTATTACGCTTAAGTCCGGCTACCCTCTCTGTTTCACCACCCCTTGCTCCAACATGCGATGCAAAACTCGTGGCAAAAGCGAGGCAGAAGCTGGGAGCAGTAATGCTCATTATTGCGTTGTTGCAGGGCTGATCACTTTCTTTTAATAACTTAAAGCACTGCCTAGCTGCTGCAGAGACAAAAGGCGAAGGGTGGCGATAAACATGGCGCACGCATCAATTCCGTGTGGAGGCTGGGTCCGGACCCTGCAGTCGCATTCCCAACCATCCTGTGCTGTACCGATGATCGACAGGGCGTCTTCGGCAAGCGGAAGGGACCCCGCAAAAGCTACGGATTGTCATTGTTCAGGAACCCACTAATTAAAGACACGAACATGTGGTTTTGGCTGCCCGTGCGCCCCGAAGCCGCAGCCCGAACGGAGGCATTAACCCTGATGCGTCCGTTGATTGTTATGGTCTTGTCCAACATAACGGGGAATTTCTGACCGCACACGATGCCAGGCAACCCATTTTATCACGGCTGAGCATGTTGATAGGTGTTGAATTCATTTTCCGTAGGCAGACATCTCCTAGAGCACTTTCTGCTGTATGACAGACATTCGTGACCGAAACCGTCTCACTCACGGTCCACCATGGTAGTTATGCTTCGTACATAAGACAAGGAAGGAATGCCTTCAATCATGGCAAGAAGGGAGTTTGGGAATTCGTGTGCTACTGTCGTCTTCCTTTGTTGTGAACCTTCTCCCTTACACACAGTGTCCCTTGAAGGCCCCGTATGCCTTCATACTCCGCCACAATAGCAGCCATCGGGGCTTTCCTGCTTTCGCAGCCCGTCATGGGCTCAAGGCAGGGAAAGGCCCCCTTTGGCTGGGGTGCTCAGTCACTTGCTCACTTTGGTATCAACCCAGACCTTGGGTTGCACAACCAGCAGAACCTCAACTCTCTCATTTCACATTCAGCGATGGCCACTGCGTTGGAGACGGAATATGCCACCGTATGAAAAGCACCAGCCCTGGCTCTTAGTTCTGATCACTGATTGTAGACTCAGATCCCTATTGACCATAATAACGCATCAGCTGGCACTTATCAAAATCGGTTCTGGGTTAGCGATGAATTCTATCAGCCTGGCAGCCCAATATTTGTGTACGATACCGGGGAGTCGGATGGCGGATCGATAGCCCAGTCCTACCTAACCTCCACTCTTTCCTTCTTCAGAGAATTCCTGATCGAATTCAACGCCATGGGAATCGCCTGGGAGCACAGATACTATGGAAACTCGACCCCGGCTCCCGTATCCTATGAATCTCCACCCGAGACCTGGCAATACCTCACCACTAAGCAGGCGCTCGCGGACCTTCCGTACTTTGCTAGTAACTTTAGCCGCGAGAAGTATCCTGACGTGGACCTGACGCCGCAGGGCACGCCGTGGATCATGGTGGGCGGCTCGTACGCTGGGATTCGTGCTGCATTAACTCGCAAGGAATACCCAGAGACGATATTCGCAGCCTATTCCTCATCGTCTCCGGTGGAAGCACAGGTCAATATGAGCGCATATTACGACCAAGTCTACCGTGGCATGGTTGCCAGCGGATGGAGCAACTGCTCGGCAGATATCCATGCTGCTCTGGAATATATTGACGATCAACTTTCGGATGAAGATACAGCTACCTCGATCAAACAACTTTTCTTCGGATCTGGCGCCGAGACCAACTCCAAAGGTGATTTCACTGCAGCGCTAACTGCCATCTACGGCTACTTCCAAAGTTATGGTATGGCGGGAGGTATTGGAGGTTTAGGCGCATTCTGCGAGTATCTCGAAATTGATCCCAAGACGAACGGGACTACAGGACCGGATGGCCTTGCCCCTACTTATGGCGGCCAGTATGTCGCCGAAAGATGGGCCGCATGGCCAACCTTTCTCGAGCTGGTTAATCTGAATATGGGGACCAACTGCGGACCTCAGGACGCGTCTCAGCCAATTGACTGTGACTTTTCCAAGCCATACGGCGATCCCGCGGCCATCACTTGGACTTGGCAATACTGCAGCGAATGGGGGTTCTTCCAGGCGAACAACGATGGGCCGCACTCGCTGGCCTCGCGATATCAGTCGGTGGAATACCAGCAAGAAGTATGTAACCGGCAGTTCCCCGATGCGGTGGACAAGGGACTGTTGCCTCCGTCGCCGCGGGCGGATGATGTCAACCAAGAGTTTGGGGGATGGACGATCCGCCCGTCCAATGTTTACTTCAGCGGAGGAGAATTCGATCCGTGGCGATCATTGTCCATTCTGTCGACGGAAGATTTCGCACCTCAAGGGGTGGAGTTTACGAGCGCGATCCCAGCCTGTGGGGTGCAGACCAATGAGGACACCGTCTTTGGATACGTCATGCAGAACTCGGAACATTGCTTTGACTTTCAAGCGACGCCGACCGTGGGGAAGTTATCACGCGGCATCTTCACATCCGCCTTGTTGCAATGGCTCGAATGTTTTGGACAGGATTCAAGCCAATCCAGGTGATCTGGGGGGCCAGGGGGTGTGTGAGTGTGTGGTGTGTGTGTGTTTGGTTGTGCTGGAGCCTGGAGCCAGGATAAAGGAGATAGGACAAGGATGACTGAGTGGATCCTGGGATGCTCCTACTTACTTGGAAAGGTACAGGGCGCGTCACGGCGAAGGTAGACTCGTACCCCAGATTAGATGATCAACGAGAAGCCTCGGAGGTTTTGGATCAACGTTGGGTTTTAGCGTCACGTCCAAAGTCCTGCATGCAGGTGCCGCTTTTCCCTTTTGGGAGATGCTTGCGATGTTTCCGAGTCCCGAAAGCATACTTACTGGGAATCGGGAATGACCCCTCGCAAGGTTGGCTTTTCCAATCATCGCCAGCCCATTCATGCCTTCTGGCTTCGCTGGATCGCTGGATCGCTGGAACCATCCCTTCCCGTCCCCTCCCTCGCCTACGTTTTAATTGTGGCTATGGAGGCGGGGATTTCCACTCCTTCACATGGTACCTCACGACCGAGGAGTCTGAAACCACCCTCGCCAAGTGAATTTGGCCTGGACTCCTCCTTGCGGGGGAGGACTAGTATATATATAATGTCTGTGGTCGGAACCAGGCTGCCCCTGTCGAATGTCATACTACCTCCTTGTACATAAGCTTCACTACAAAGTTATCTATCTCTCATCTCGCATTCTTCACATCCATCCCTTTGCTTTTTCTAGTCTCTATACTATCATTTCATCCCCCGCACTAGACTACCCGGCAGTTGCGTCATGTTGGCCCCTGCAATTGTCTTTCTCGGCGCCATCTATTTAACCTTCCGAATCTTGAGCTCTCTTCACCAGGCTTACCACCATCGCAAGAAGGCCAAAGCGCTAGGCTGTCAGCCCCCTAATTCCGTGGATACCGGTATCCTCGGCATCACTGGCTTCTATCGCATTGCAAAGGCAGCCAGGGAGAAACGATGGGTTGAATACATTGCCGAGCACTACCAGACGAGTGGGCCGACCTTCCGTCAGCAGGCCTTGGGAGGACTCATGGTCACCAACACCGTCGAGCCGGAGAACATCAAGGCACTGTTGGCTACTCAGTTCCAGGATTTCGGCCTCGGAACTCGCCATCGCGAGTTCTACCCGTTACTTGGAAATGGCATCTTCACCTTGGATGGGGCGGGTTGGTCTCATGCGCGTGGAATGCTGAGGCCGCAGTTCACTCGCGATCAGGTCTGATATTTCTACTATTCTATCATCAATGAGAACCTACTGACGGATGTGAGCGACTAGGTTGCTGATCTCGACCTTATGGATGGCCACATCACGAAGATGATGGACTTGATCCCGAAGGATGGCTCTACTTTCGACATTCAGCGCCTCTTCTTTCTCTTGACTATCGACTCGGCTACCCATTTCCTGTTTGGTGAATCCGTCGGATCAATGCGCACATCTGCTGAGTCGAGTCTGCTGGAAAAGTCCACCGTCGGAAATGCCCAAGGGTTTGCGGAGGCTTTCAACCGGGCCCAAGAATACCTAGCAGCGAGATCCAGAGCCATGGCATTCTATTGGCTCGTTAACCCTAAGGAGTTCCGTGAAGCGAATCAGCTTGTACACGAGGTGGTCGATCACTACGTGCGCCTCGCTCTCGAAGCAAAGCGTCATCCTGAAAAGAAGGAACCTGGCAGATACATCTTCGCAGAAGCCTTGGCTGGGGATACCGATGATCCGAGAGTGATCCGTGACAACATGCTCAACATCCTCCTGGCTGGCCGCGACACCACTGCCAGTCTGCTAAGCTCGGCCTTTTTCTACCTGGCACGTCATCCCAACGTCTGGACCAGACTTCGCCAGACCATCGTCGATGAATTTGGTGACGCTCAACACCCCAATGGAAAGATTACTCATGCCAGGCTGAAGGACACTCCATACTTGCGGTATTTCTTGAATGAAGGTGTGCAATACCCCCCTCCCCCCGCCGCAAGTTAGAATATTTCCTAACGAGACTAGTCCTCCGCCTCCTTCCCCCTGTGCCTCTGAACTTTCGTGTCGCCGCCAAAGATACTTCGTTGCCATTGGGTGGCGGGCCTGATGGGAAGGCACCCATCTACGTGCGCAAGGGCGAGCTTGTGTCGTACAGCGTATATGCAATGCACCGCCGCACCGATTTATACGGCCCGGATGCCCATGCTTTCCGACCAGAGCGTTGGGAAGAGAATAGCAAGCGGGGTTGGGAATACCTTCCATTCAACGGCGGGCCACGCATTTGTCTTGGTCGTAAGTTTACCTCTCATATGCTCTAGTGCACATTACTGACATTCTTTTCCAGAGCAATACGCTCTCACTGAAGCTAGCTACACTATGGTCAAACTGCTACAGCGGTACAATAGAATCGAGAATGCCGACCCTGATATGGTGGAGCCGATCATCAACTCCAGTCTCACGCTATCGCATGACCGTGGCGTCCATATTCGGTTGTTTTCTTCGTGATTTGCCAGCACTGCTGAGATATTGACCGTACCATTACTTGTTCAAGCCGCCGGGTGGCTACAATTTTTTTGCATTATGATGAGCTATACTTTTAATGGCCTAGGAAGGTTTCTGCAATGACTACATATATTAGCCTGCATAGTTTGATTTAGGAGATTCCACATTTCATAGTTTTCAATCGTAATGACCTCTTCGGATGCTATGTTCCAGTAGCTGACATAATGTGGCGGGAACTCAAGGCAAGTTTCTTTTCTTTGTATACTCGAGTATCTTAGCTCCTAGGATTATAGTACTTGTAGTAGGAGTGTTCTTTTACCGTGTGTGTCGAAGGATGACGGGGCCTCCATGCAATCTTTATACAAATACATGACTTATAGGATTTATTCTCCTCGATTCCCTTCCTGGGGATATACAAGACACGTGCCAAGCGCACAATAATTACAAGTAAAGAATACTTGAAAGATAGTCCAAGTAAAAGTGAATATATATAACTAACTTACCAGTCCCCGACCTGTAATATCACTTATGAGATTAATATGAATCTCAGAAAAGAATATGGAATCCCATAGAACTAGAGATATGGAAATTATAGAGAGTAGAAAATATCTACTTGAAAAACGTACAGGCTCTAGGGTGATAAAATGAAGGATTCTTACTGTCGTGGATGGAACTGTGAGTAGCAGGATCTGAACCCGCGATCCCCCAAAATCATGCCCTCAAATCAGTGACCCCACAAAGAAAAAGCAAAAAAGAAGCCCAACGCGGGGCTCGAACCCGCAGCCTTGAGATTAAGAGTCTCACGCTCTACCGATTGAGCTAGCCGGGCTAGTTCGGTGAAGACCTAAATTATAGATATGCATAATATTCTTGCTTTTCCCTAACGGGAAAATTTTCATTGCAGCCACAGAAGGTTTGGCTGTGCAATAAGTGGCTGGGCAGCATGTGTGCTGAGTCAGCCAATCTCCGCGGCGCAATTCCCTCCACCGAGATTCGACCTATCGCCATTGTTGACGTTGTCTCCAGATCCATAGCCTGCTGCGCGAATTTCGACCCTTGATTTTTGAGATCACTTAGAATTTGAATCAGATACACGACTGGGGAAGACGTACTACACTCTTGTTTATACGTGCATTCATAGTTCAGCTTGTCAATTACCTAACCTGGACTGGATACACGTGCTGGCCTATCACCTGACGATTGCTGAACTTCCCTTCACCTTATAAACTGTGCGCTGGATTTCACATCTAGCTTTACGATAAATTCTCGCTGCCAGCCTATCTTCACTGACAGTGGCAATGGCATCCGCTCCCAACCCAGGTCAAACGCTTCCTAGGATGCCAGTGGTTGTTCCTGCAATGGTTCCTCCCTCGAATGGCGCTGAAGCCTCTACAGGGGGCGCTAGTAACACTGACCCCAGTCCTGATGCCTGGGACTCCGAAATGCAACTTGTTTCCTCGCTCGCGAAACTCCAGAAGATGGAAGCAATGGTGAGTATTATCCCCTGAGGTCCAAGCTCAAACACCAATTAACACGTTATGACAGATCCACCAACTGCGGACTCTACTTCCTGAGCGCCTTCTGGAACCTCTGGCACCCATTGTCAACCCCAAGGCCGCTGCGGGAAGACCCGTCCCCAAGTCCCCGCAAATGCTGTACGAGCAGCTGGCTCAAGCTGCACGCGCGGGTGTTTCCGAGCTGCAAGAGTTTCAGTCGATGTGGAGAAGTCCCGAGATGAAAGCGGTCTGGGATCGCATTGACGCGCAGATTAAAGAAAATGGCGGCGTGATGCTGCAGCCCACGGGGAAATGGGAGAGAGATTACGATACCATTCTTGCGGATCTTCGCGAGGAGGAGCAGACTCAGAACGAGCAGCAGCAGAAAGCTAATGAGGAGGTGGAGCGATCGAAGATTCAGGCCACTGAGGGTGGGTGGAGAGCGATAGTTGAGGGCTTTGCTCAGAAGAATGTGCCTGGTGTGCGTGTTTTGGCGAGTCAAAGTGAAGCGGCTGTCACGGTTGTGCTTGTCAAAGCTGGGATGGTGTTCAGAGTTGAGGCTATTGCTGGTCAGGATGGGAATGGTGTACCTGACTGGCGGGTCTTTACTAGGACGCCTGGGGGGCAAACGCCTTCGAAGGTCGAGACGGCGGTGGCGCAGTGCTTGAATTCAAGGCCTCGACAGTGGGATTTGCTTTATCTACTTGTAAGGCCTGGCCCTTCTTCTTACGTTGCTGAATATGGTTTATGTGGACAAAACGCTGATATTTCATGTTAGGACATGATATCGTCCTACTCAACTATCAAACAGACACCCTGTGCAAAATGCACCAAGATGACCGACAGCACAGCAACCCTTCCCACCATCCGCAAACCATCCTCTACTCCCCAAGAACAGGGAAGTCAAACCTGGGAAGCCTATCATCAAGGCTGCACTGAATGAAAGAGGAACAAAGAAAACAAAACAAATGAGGAATATATATATCATTAATGATGGAATATCCCATTCCAACAATCCCCAGATGCCTCAACGTTTCATATATCAGACAGGTCGATCCCAGATAAATATTCACGTCAATGGCATTTCGCGGGTAAAATCAATGCATGTTCCTCGGAACATCCAACACAAACAAAAAAACAAAGGTGCATCTGGCATTCACACCTACTCCTCCACATCCACCAACTTTGTCGGGAAGAAACTTGCCACTTTTCCCTCAAGAAGTGGCTCGAGCACCAGCTGACCGCGAGGACGACGAGCGCCGTGCTCGTCCCTGACAGCCCTCATGACCGTAATTCCCATGGTCCCTTTCGTACACAAGAGCCACCACCATGGCGGACTGCCCTTGCGACGGACGAGTACGATGTCGTCAGATCTTGAGGATGACGATCTCTGCCGATGGGGTGCCGGTGTCGACGACCCAAATAGTGGTATTGTGTCTTGTTCTCGCTGTTTGCCTTTGTTTCTCCACCTTCTCTTGTGGTGGTGGTGGCTGCTGCTGGTGGGGATGTTGGTGGGGTTCCAGAAACTGGACATTTTGTTTTATCTTCCGAGAAAATCGGCTTGTGGTCGATGGCGAATCTGTCACGAGGGTGACTTAGCAAGAGAAAGTTGGAGTATAGTCAAGGATCACATCAATTGTGAGAAACACAAACAAAGAATGATGAGTGAGAAATGGATAATGAAGTCGAGATAGATGGACTTATATGTATCCAACTCCTCACATAGATCCATCGACCCAAGTCGAGTGCCCGATGATCCAGCCATCAATAAACGCGGTTATCTCCTATATTCTGGATACTAACAAGTGTCTGCATCTTGTCCCATGTATTGGTAGAAGTCTTGATTATGAGACATTGATAAGTTGATTTTACTTCATTGATGGATGTAGAGTATATCTTAATCTAACTCCAGCGATTTTAATCTTTGATCTTCCAGTCTGTCAATACTGGCTATATCCAGTCCAGTCATGATAAAACAGCAGATACTTGCAAAGAAATACCGGGATATTCCATAGTTATATCCGTCACATCTTTGTATATGATGTCATGTCTCAGTGCTAAGTACTACTATGAGTTCTAGGCACTGAATGGAACCTAGAAAACCAAGATTAGTAGATACCATGCTTGGAATACGAGGCTGGCGATATACTACTAGTATTATATATATGTATATGAACGAATTCTTTCGATGAGATAATCCGTGTTAGTAGTAGCTATGAATTCGGGGAGTTCCGTGATATTGTTGGTATTTTGGGGGATAGTATATATACTTATACTACGGCTTATCTACTTCCTTGTGGGCATCGATATTAGGTAATTTCAACGTATGTTGGTTGGCTGTGGTGCCTGGGGAGGGGAGTGTGGCTTGTTCCGGCTTTTGGTAATAGTATGGATGCTTAATGCCGTGAAGGAGGAATGAATATAGAAATTGTTAGTACTAGTACTAGTACTTGTTGGCTGGGACAGTCTCAGTTAGAAATACAGGTGTATCTACCAGTTTGAGTCTGCAGTGGTCGTAGTAGGTAGGTAGTATATATTGAATCTGAGGAAGTATCCGATAATAATAAGTTCAGATATGTATACATACATCCATGAGATAAAATGCAGAGAACATTAAGTATAGACAGGCCAAATGGAGATACAATCACATGTCATAATCACCGCATGCACACACTATTACACTGATATCCCGCTATTGCTGCGCATCAAAGGAGTGAACAAAGGTCAAAAGTAAAGAGGAAATTCCCAGCCATTATATCGAATCAGAAAAGGAAACTCGCAAACGCCAATCCAACCCAGCTGATAGATTGCTATCATCATAACTCAAACGAAATTCGCTTTGCTCCATGCAACATTCTAATGCATAAAAATGTTTGTTTTCTTGGTCGTCATCCGGAGATTAAACTCATGTGGAGAAGAGACCGAAGCCCCCGGCGAACCAGGTGAAGGACAGGACGGTGATGGCGAACATGCCAAAGGTGAACTTCATCCCTAACCGTTCGAGCTCGGAGAAAGCGCCGCTGCAGGTAGCGCAGACAAATCCTGTCGGAGTTAGCAGGTTCATTACGATATATAGAGGCCATAACATACCATTGAGCGGAGTGTACGGCTGCGAGCTGTACATTCCGAAGATGTAACTGCTAGCAGCACTAAGATAACCGGCACTAGCCGTCTCGGTGAGGGCCTTGCTGGCATCCCAAACGATCAACGTGTACGATGCTGTCAACAGCGGAACAGTCGCGTTGGCCTGGTACTTCTTAGTGTCCCAGACCACCTTTCCGGTAGGCGACATAGTCATGTTGGACGAGATGGTGTAGGTGGCACTGTTCAAACTGCAGGACGCGACGACATTGACAGCTGTTGGGCTGATGGTCAACGAGGTGTAGTTCCATTCCAATGTCACAAAATCGCCAATCTTGTAGTAGGATGTGGCTCCCTCGGTGGGAATGAGCATGGAGATACCACCAGCACCGGCAGCGGGGTTGATAGAAACACTCGTTGTGCTGTTTGAGGAAGAGCCAGAGGACTTGCCGGTAGCCGTGCCTGTTTTGGTAGCTGACTTGGTATTGGTGCCGGTGGCCGTGGCCGTGGTATCGGTTCCTGTTGCGGCGGCGGTCTTGGTCGCTGCCTCGGTCTTCGATGCACTCTCGGTGGTAGCGGCGGCTCCAGTGGTTGCGCTCTCAGCTGCGGTAGTATCTTCGCGAATCAGCAATACATCACACACGAAGCACGATAAAAAAATAGGACAGTGGTAGAAGGTAATGCCAAAAGACGGAACTAACCAGCTCGTCGCAACAATTCACCATGTGGCCGCCATGGCCAGGCCGAAGTTACCGTCCCCAACAGCAAGAGGAGGCACAGAATAAACAGACGAGACATGGAACGCATCTTGAAAAGACCGATCGGACTGTCTTGTAGTGGTGTTGACTGAAAGGCAGAGGGGTCGGTTGACTCCCTTGGCAAGATTCAGGGTCCGATCGACGTGGACCCTTTCCCGTATACGGCGGCAGAAGCGACAGGGGTATCGGTAACTGCGATGGACTGACGAGCGACAGATGAAGCTACACCAGAATGGCGAAGATGAACCGTCGAGCACGATAAGCGATGATCAAATCCAGAGATGAAGCGATACGGGCTGCAGAAATGGTGGTTTTTTCAGGCCAGCGGGACTGAAACATGCAGATCGTCCGATAGATTCTCGGCAGGGTCCAACGAGGGTCGGGGGGGAGGAGAAGAGATGTAAACAAAGCGAGTGACAGGGACCGGTCTGATTCCAGCGAACCTGGGGTGGCAGACTGATGAAAAGATAGGACCGATCAACCGATAGCGAAGGTCAGAAGAGTCAAACGACAGACGAGCGAAGCATTGTCCGACCCGAGGGGAAGAAAGAAAGACGAGGGCGAGAGACTAAAAGACCAGACGAGCAGCCATTGAAGGCGCGCCTTGCCCGATTGGGCCAGGGAGTGAGACACGGCGCTATTTTTGGCGGTGCGCCTGAGGCATCCAGTGCATCTGACCCGGTCGGGGATCAAGATTTATGCACCTTGTTTCACCTAGAATAGTCCCTTTCCCGTACACAGAATAGAAAAATAATCCCTCGTCGCAGGTATAAAGTAATAGCGAAAGAGTCATTCCGTGTCTGCCATTCTGTGACTCTATCCATCTCGTCCCATTTCATGAATGAAACTCCGTTCCCCATACCGTCGTGGTATGTAGAAGTCAAGTGTTTGCTGTCCCCGCAAACCTGCAACACTAACCGGATCCCGGCAGCCACTATTGCCAATTATTGGCCGCTACGATAAGCGAAGGGCGGATGGGAAGCACATCAATCTAGTTTACTTTTATTATTGTGGGTTTGCAGCTATCATTCTTGTCAAGATACCAAGTAGTAAGTAGTAAATGCATATATTTACGTGAGATTATCTAAACCTGATATCCCTGACTATGCAACATGCCACGCATAGCGTATACATCACCTTCCTTCCCATTCATCACAACTCATTCTCACTCATCATTAAGTATATTAACATTAGTAAAGGTCGATCGTTTAACAGGCGTATTGTTACAGAGTGCATTCCCTTTCAAACCGGGAGAGGCGCGTATCCTCCCAGATCCTTCGGTATCATGATTCATCAGTCACGCCACACTCGTCATAGAGCCCCTGTTACAAGGCCCAGTGGCGAGGTCTAGACGTTGTGTCTCTAGGAAGTATATTCGGGCTTCAGGTCGACAGTGCTGCAGGAGGAAGGAATAGTGGGCTCTTCGTAGCGGTAGATGTAGAAGAGCTGGGGTGCGTTGTGGTACCAATCGCACACTACATAGCCGCAGTTAGTGGCACGTTCTAGAAAGTTCGTATGGGTATATGTTCAAGGTCACTCACCTAGCCAGCCTCCGAAGCCATCCTGTGCCGACCACTCCAGACCGGTAGTGCCAATGGAGAAATCATCATCGCCGTATCCAACATTGATCTGGACAGACTCCCATGCTGCAAGCAAAGTTAATCTTCCGATCGCCCATGTGGTGAAGGAATGACAAAAACATGGATCAGCCAAGGGACAAGGAAGTCTAACCTGCGTAGTTGTTCTGGACGCCCATCTTGAATCCCCAAGGGAAGGAAGTTCCCAGGTCGAATTGGGTGTGGGTGCCGTTGAGGAAGGCCGGGCTGGCCGTTCCGACATCCGAGGTCAGCACGGCATCGTTGAATCCCGCACCGGTGTGGTAGGCATAAACGTAGAGGTTGTTGTGGTTATCGTTGGAAGCGCCCGAGGTCTTGAGGTAGAAGGACTGGGTGGAGTTGCTGGACTGGCGGGGGTACAGCATAGGGCTAGCAGCCACAGTAGACGCCAACAGGGCAAGAGAGGCAAGGAACTTCATTATGATGGATGGTGTGGACGAGAAAGGTGGATGAAGAAGAGAGAAATTAAAATAGAAAGGATAAGACTCGTGGATGGATCCTGAAATAGAACAGGGGATGTAGGAGAAAAGGGGAGGATGGTGCGTGTGATACAGGATGGCTGAATGGAGGGGGATGCCCAGCGTCTTTATATCGGACAGCCACCACGATTCTCCCCCACAGCAGTTGGGGACACGGGTGCGCCGGCGCCGAAATGCCTACAGGAAAGTTGGAACGAGTGGAGGAGGATCCAAGGACAGCGCAGGGGCAGGACAGACAAGACTACGGACTAGGGAAAACTTTGCGCGAAATCTGAGAATAGAAACTTGGGCGAATGCCGACAGGTGGAGGGGGCGGTTGGTGGTTGGTGGTTGGAGCTTCAGTTCAAAAGCTGAGGAATACTTTTTGAGTTGGCAGAATGAGAGGCAGGAACAACTGGAGAGGCAAATCCCTGCTCCACTTTTGCCCGCGCCTTCCTCTTCCTGCTGGAGCCTCGTTCGGACTGGCCGCCCTTGTCCTCACAGCCCGATTGGTTGATCCGGTCTTGGCTGCGCTGGTGGAGGGGTCCTCAGCCGGACCAATCATTGTAGGGCGGCGAATTCAGCAGAAACAGCAGATCCCTGCGAGGCAGAGGCTGATTGGACAGGCTCGGAATGAACGAGGATGGCGGGAGGAGACTGGACTCATCCCCGCATACTAAGTAAGTGGTACACTTCAGTGTATAGGTATTGTATGTTCAGTATTCCTATAGAGAATGAACACAATGGTCCATTAGTAACTTCACCCATCTGTCTATATACCATGTCAAGTTAAGATCAGATGGCAACTGTGCTGATCTGACATGATACAAGACTATCTTTTCTATTTTTATTTCCCTGCAACAACATAGTCTACTCCGTACTAATCCTCAAAACTTGTAAGCAGTCGATCTTAATCTATCGGATGATCGGATTTTCAGTGACCCTCTCTCTCTCTCTCCTCCATGCCCGATGCCCGACCGATCACTGCCCGGGTCAGATGATTGACTTTTTGTCTCAGATTTCTCCTCCCTCGGCTCGGGTTTCCACCGTTATCCATCCATCCATTCATTCATCCATCATATCGTCATATGCCTCGTGGATCGGATTGTCTTTTCTTTGTCTTTTTTTCTGGACAAAGAAATCATTGACATCACAAGAACCACACTTCCTCTGTAGTATACTGTATTACTGTCCAAGGCAACCCCTCCCTCCCCCTGAAGCCGATCACGATAATCACGTAACTGGAGAAATTTTAACCTGCAGCAAAAGTGGACTTGGACTTCCCGATCACTTCCACTCCGATTGGTCTTGAAACAACTCATCACTCACTTAGTTGCAGAGTAACTACAAACTGTCTAGACTTTCGTACCTGCACATAACACCGTGGCTATGCTATCCTCCGGTCCAGACAGTTCATAGTATCCATTCATCGCCCACATTCCTCACGGAAAGCCCGCCGCACCTCCTCTCCATCTACTTTGGTAACTGACATCATGATTCACCGTTCCGTACACTCCCTTTCTCTGGTTCACACACTATCGTCTGCCATGACATCCCACAATGGGGTTGGGTAGACGATCCTTATCCACGGAACCCCGTTATCTCGTTTCCCGCGGGGTATTCCGAATAAGTTACTACTTTGGTAGGAGTCAAAGTGACTCGTCAATGTCGTTTAGATACCTCAAGTCTCAATAATCAGTTTTGTCAGGTACCGGGGATATGGTTATGGAGTCGGGTTATACGTCATCGAGATTACGGTTACGTCGTCTGCTTGGCTTCTCTGGGTGATCTTGAATTGTACAACAACAACGACAATTATAGTAGAATTACACGGGGCATGGGATCGACATCATCCCGGGCTGCATGAAATTGTTTGTTTCAACTTTCAGCCCTTCGGGACATGGGTATCCCTGGTCATTGTAGTATATCATAACTAGCTGAGGTATAGGTATTGATCCTTCCAAGACGCAATTCATCTATCCATCCATGGTTGCCCAACGCCTGGGAATGATCCATATTATACAAATGCATATCGAGTCTACTATTTCTCATTGGCAAATCATCGTCGCTTGGCATATTCCGGCTTCAAAGCCCATTTCCCGCGCCCGTTTCGTCCCCCCTTGTCCAACACGGCTATCGTCTTCAGCATCTCCTTGAACTCGGCCGACCGTTGCGGCGTGGTGCAGTAGCGGTTGAAATGATCGATCAACATTTGGGTATAGACTGACCCGCCCTGGGCCGTAATGAAATCCCGGATCATGGTGATGAAATCGATTCCGCTGGGAGTCCGCGATGGCGCAGGACTGTTGCTGCTGCTGCGCGGTGAAGGTGTGCGCGCCGAGAGATTCGCCAAAATGCTGGCTGAGGATGGTCCGGCTACCGCTCGTCTGGCGGCGCTACTGCTTCCTCCAAATGCAGGCCGGCTGGGTAACTGTTCCTCAGGTTTCCCGGCCAGGCCGAATTGGCCCGTCCAGGTTGGAGTGCCGATGGGGACGGACCGCGCTGCTTCACCCGCTCGCCGCAACTCCTCTGCGGCTTCAGCTGCCACCCGCTTCGCTTCGGCCTCGATTATTTTGGGGTCCGCTCGCACCACGCGCTTGCCATTCACGATCTGATCATGCTCCAGCGCCGAATGGACCCCGGATCGGGCAAAGATGCCCTCCATGATGCGGGACTCGGAGTTGGCACCTGAAGTGCCCTTCTCCTGCTCGCTCTGTTGCTCTTGGTCTCCCTGGAACTGTTCGACAGCGGCGACACCCACGACCTTGCTGATGTCTTTCTTCTCCTCCTGCGCGCTATGTGAGGAGGCAGATGATTTGATCGCTGCATTAGACTTGCGCGAGGTGCCATCGCTGTCTTCATATGTGACGTCCGCATCTTTAAAGATCTTACTGGTCTCGGTGGGGCCTTGGCCTTCGTCTCCAAGAGAGAAGAGATCATGGAGGTCGCTTAGCTGGAAAGTCTGGCGTTGCTTGGGATCCCGGAGGATTTTATTCGTGAGAAACTGCTTAAAGATCTGACGATGATAGATCTTCTCTTCAATAGTGCCTGCGGTCATAAGCCGATAGACGGTGACGTCGCGCTTTTGTCCTAGCCTCCAGGCCCGCTCCCGCGCCTGCACATCAGTTGATGGGTTCCAATCGGGATCGTATATGATCACCCGATCAGCACCCGTTAGATTCACACCCAGCCCGCCAACTTTAGTGGTAAGTAGGAAAACATGTAGGCTTGGGTCATTGTTGAACTCGTCCACCATAGCTTGCCGGTGCTGGATGGGTGTGGTGCCATCCATTCGACGGTAGTTAAATCCAGACAGTGAGTTCACAAATTTCTCCAGAATATCGAGCATGATCCGATGCTGCGTGAACAGCAAAGTCTTGTGACCGGTATCCTTCCATAGCTCCAGCAGCGATTTGACGACCTGCATTTTACCCGACTTGGATCCGCTACCATAGCCGGTTGTTGAGGACATCAGCTTATGATTTTGTAGATCCGGATGGTTGCAAATCTTTCGTAATATATCGACACCGAACAAGACTTGTCGACGCCCGTTGAGGATGGATTTCATCTCCTCGGAGCCAAGGAACGCCTCGTACGCCTGTCGTTGCGGCTTTGTCAACTTGCAGAACAGCACTTGTTCACTCTTCTTAGGAAGATCTGCCGCAACATCGATCTTGAACCGCTGTAAAAGATAGGGGCTGATGGCATCCTTGAGGGTCTCGGCACATTTGGCAGCTGTCTGGACTTGCAGATTAGAGGCATTCGCGTACCCTCCCTGACGAATCGGGAACTCGAATTGGTTCCGGAAATTCACCAGAGTTCCCAGGCGCATTGGAAAGACGAAGTCGAATAAAGACCAGAGCTCTGTAAGATTGTTCTGCATCGGGGTGCCAGATAGGATAATGCGATGGGGTGTCCGGAGTTCCTTGCAATGGATAGTAATCGAGGTGTTCGGGTTGCGGATTTTGTGCCCTTCATCCAGGACAGCACAGCCCCATTCAATCGGTATCACGAGAGAAGCATAGGTCTGTAGGCCCGAGTAAGTGGTTACCAGTACATGCCCTTCTTCTACTACACGCTTGACGACTTTCCTGGCTGCTTTCAGGCCACTTGGCATGCCACGAGTACTCGAGGCGTTCCACGCCTGAGACAAAAGAGCATCTTCTCTGCTGCTCTCGTTCCGAATGTTGACCATTCCACTACCGGACGTGTGCAGGATGGATACACGGAAAGGAGGCCACCAACGGTGGAACTCATTCACCCACTGCTTCATGACCGTAGCGGGACATACAACGATGACTGGCCTCGTCAACTTTTTGCTGTAATGGAGACCAGCAAGGAAAGAGATGACTTGAATAGTCTTCCCAAGACCCATCTCATCGCCGATGATCCCACCTACTTGCTGCTGTTGTAATTCCCATAACCATTGTACTCCGGTCTTTTGATAATCGAACAAAAGGGGATGTATATCACCAGGTATTCGATACCCGTTGTCGTAGGGCATATCTGAAACTGTGGGATGAGGCATGAACCATTCTTCCTGTTCATCTTGATCGAGCATATCCACATTGTCCCCAGCAGCATCCACCTCGGGTCCATGACCTGCAACACGCGACTCAAGCGCTCTTTTCCTAGCAGCTGCCCTTCGACTGACCCAATATCGAAGCCTAGTTTGATAGAGCTCTTCATTTCCATCGTCCATTCCGCTGAAATCTTCAACCTCGTCCGAAGACTTTGGAGCCTTTACTGGCTTTGCCGTACGTTTTGGCCTTTCTTCAGGCAGGAATTCTTCTTCATCTTCCGATACAGAAGACTGCCTTTCAGATTCAACATAGCTAGCAGACTCATCTTGATCCTCGAAATTGTCTTCGAAGGATACCTTGGTTTCTTGTTCAAGAGCTTCTTCCTCCTCCTCATGAGACTCGCGGTCTATCTTTCGACGCTTACTTGCTCGAGAGGTAGGCGCTTCATCCACTAAGCTGGAAGCGGGAGTCTCATCGAAACCGAATCCAGGTCGTACGAGATTACGATGTGAAACAGCTGACCGGTTCTTCACCTGCTCCAGTGCTTCCCTTTCATCGCGTTCGTCCTCTGCATCGATCAAGGCATCCTGAAGACTAGCAAGAGGGCCATGATTTGGCCCAGTGCTCATGTTGGAAAATGGCGTAATCTTTCCAGTTCGAATGAGATAATCCCGGCGGGACTCATTAGGCATGCGCCCAGTCCCGGTAGTCGGAGAACCAGCCTCGTCTCCTTGATGTCTTTCGTCCATTCTTTGCTGAATTTCTTTAAGGTCAGTTGCCAGTGCCGCATTGCGGCTCTCCAGCTTCTCAATCTCATTGCTGATGCGAACTCTCGCAGACGTGCCAACTGGCTGCGACAAACGCTGATGTAGTTTCAAGATTTGGCTCTCAAGTTTCCTAGAAAACATTCACTGTAAGTTCCACGTGTAAAGCTCAGCAGTAATATAAACATACTGTTTCTCTAATGTGGTTTTCTCCAATCTTTTACTATCCCGTTCGTCAGCCTGCTCCATGAGCAACCTGTCGGCCTAACATAGTCGTCAGCATCCTCGGCTCCTTTAGAGATTGACCAGTAAAGCGTACCTGACGAGATATGTCCCTTTCGAGGTCATCTTGATCACGAACATCGGCCTGCAATTCACGTAATCGACTTGCTTCATCGGCGTTTGCCGAATGCCCTTGATTCAGAGATGCTTCAGACTCAGGTGGATCCGATGTAGATATCGCTTGTTGTTCCGACTCTTCCTCCTTTTTCATGTCTTCGTCAAAGCCACTCCGGGATGCAGCGACGTCCACGTCGTTCAATTTTGCCCCATCCATGATCCTGTATGAATCTCAATGGACAGACACATTTAATAAAGTCTGATAAATTCCACGGTCGTTCAGTTTATATCCCCACAAATCTAATATGTGACTGTATTTTATAGATGTCTTTTAAGGGATAAGTAAGAGTTATGTGTGATATTATAGTGGTCGTAAAAAAGATGATACCGGGGTCATTGCAGCAAGTGGCGTCACCGATGTGTAGTGAGAAGTAAATCTGACAGGGTTCGAATTAACCAATACCGATCCTTGAGAGCCAGTCTATAGCACATAAAGTGTTTAATACACACCCACTCTGGACGATTCACAGCCGAGAGCGAGAAAGTGATTGTAAAGAGATTGAAATCTCAGAGGACTGGATGGGACTGGCGAGGGACCGCGCCAGACCATGTCTACAAGGACTGCGACGATAACCATAAACCCGGCAGAAAGATTTCACCGACGGCAGCCTGGCACTCACCGCCCTGGGTGCCTAGCCCTTGGGCGGTTAGTCATCCACCACGTAGCCTCCCACGTCACCGGGACTGGCTGGGGCCCGTGTGTTGCCTCAGTCCACCTCTCACTTCACACACCATCCACGCTCGAATTGCCCAGGTGATAATGTCATCACCACACTGAATTCCCTTAGGCTTCGGGTATGCCCTCCGGTGTCAGCCTTCATGATTATCGGGAGGAGTGGAATATACTGTTTGGCCTTGTTCCGGGTGTTGTTGGGCCTGGAACAAGAGCAAATAACATGTATGGAGATTGGCAACCCCTTCTGCAAACGGCAATGACGCAGAGGGAACCGTAGTACAGAACTCGAGATAATTACAATCACCAATCATGGCATTAGTAACCGCCTCTGGTCCAGGTCATCCTTCCCTCGAATAGCCGCAAGAAAAGGCATTGTTATAAGTCTGCTCGTATAGCGAGCTATACCAAAACAGTGCCGTTGGACTTGAATGCCCAAGGGGGCAGCGGATGTTTCCGAATGAAGGCAGATCGTCGTTCAAGAGGCTGGTCGCGAGGCAGGCAGGCAGGCACAGACTCAGTCAGACCTCAGACAGACATCAAATAGTCTCCATGATTTTAATTGCCCAGTTACACCTTGATGTAGTCCAATATTAATGTGGTTCTAACCCTGGACGGTGGCTAGATGGGAATGCTAGCTAGTATTTAACTGCATTGGTCTTTCCATTCTCTGGCTTAGGTTGTTCTTGCCTATCCCTCCCTTTCGTTTGCCTTTCGAAACCGGGGGTTGGCCTCGATTTGCTGGCAGTCGATTCATCATCTATTAACAGGATCCCTACCAATCTGCCTGCACGCGCACACACACACACACACACACACACACATACACACAACCCACCTGCAGAAGGGTTCGAGGAGATGAAAGAGGGGCCCTCCCCGAGTCGTGAGATCAGCCATTAGAAATAATCCAGCGAAGAAAGAAGAGAGTGTAGTATCAGGTTGGTCCGTGGGTGACCCTTTCCCGGCACCATTCCATTTGCAAAGCAAGCCCCAACCCAACGGCAGCCTGAGGCCCGCGTCGGATCTCGCTGCTGCTCAGTGCTCAGAGTCAGTCAGAGTCAGAGGGTATCTCCACCTCCACGAACTGAAATCAACTTTACTACCCTCTCTTCCCTCTCTTCTTTCTTTTCCCCCCCTCCGCACTAGTTTCACCCAGTGCCCGTCGTCTGGACTTGCTTCCAGATTCAACCCCCCCCCCCCCCCCCCCCC